CTATTCTACCCACTCTCCCTCCAGCCCTAGGAAATGATTCAGCTATGCTCTGTATATATTTGCCTGCTATTGAATTTCATGTAAATGTAATCATATAGTGTATGGTTTTTTATGATATGCTTCTTTCACATAGTAAAATATCTTTAAAGATTATCTATGTAGTAGCTGTGTCAATTTTTAATTCCCTCTTAATACTAGATATTCTATTGTATGAATATCACCTTTTATGTATTTACTGGGTAGACATCATATTTCCTTATTTTTACTTTTATGAGTAATGATACTATACATGTTCATGCACAAGATTTTGTGTGGATATTATTTTCGTTTCTTCTCTCTAGGAATGAAATTGATGATACTGTAACCATGCTTTACACTTATGAGAAATTGCCAAATGTTTTCCAAAGCTTCCAGATCATTTCACAACATCCTCTACTCAACACTCTAGCTTACAAGGGTTGCAATTTCTCCACATACTTACTGGTACTTCTTAACTTTCATGATTACAGATATTTTAATGGATGAAAAGTATTGTCTTATTGTGGCTTTGAATTGCATTTCCTTAATGACTTTTGTTATGTTAAGAATCTTTGAGTCTATTTCTTGGCCCCTTGTAAATCTTTGCAGAAATCAAAGATTTTATTCATTTTTAATTGGGTTATTTCTGTTTTACTGTTGAATAGTATAATGTATATATGTGTATACTGTGGAATTATTACATTGTGGATTTATAGGTTATGGATATATTTATCAGATACATGGCTTTACAGTATTTTTTCCTATTCTCAGGTTTGTCTTTTCACTTTTTTGGTGGCTTTTTTTTTTAGCACAAAGTGTTTAATTTTGATAGAGTGCTATTTATTTGTTGTATTTTTTCTCTTGTCAGTTCTGTTGGTATTGTATCTAAGAAATAATTTTTTAACCCAAGGTCTCAAAATTCATTCATATATTTCAATCTAAGAATTTTATAGTTTTCATTATTACGTTTAGGTTTGTGATCCATGTAGGGTTCATTCTGGGTATGATTTAAGGTAGGGCCCCAAGTTCTTTTGTACCATTTGTTGAAAAGATCATTTTTCCACATCGAATCACCTCAGCACTGTTATTGAAAGTCAGTTTATCATAATGGTACAGGTTTATTTCTGGGTTAGACTTGATATTTCAATATAGAGTAAGGTAGAAGTCAAATTATTCATCTATAGATAGACAATTCATCTTAATCAGCATCGTTTAGTAAAGAGACCAAATTCGTTCTAATGTAATTTTATATCTACAGTTTATTTGTTATTTAGAAATTTTATGTTTTTACATTTACAAATGTTGTTTTTGTTATCCTTGTTATAGATTTCTACATCTACTCAGAGTAGCCACACTACCAACTTGCTAGCATTTTTACACATTTTTACCAGTTTTCTCTAGAAGCTAAGGTTTTACATGTTTTCCTATGAATTTTACTAGATGCATGTTTTATTTTAGCCATCATTTCTAGTTTTTTTTTTTTAAATTAAATTGCGTGAGGGTTCTGAAATTGTGTTTGCTATATTGTTTGTATCAAACCTTTATTTTCTTATGTTCTGTTTCTGAACCCTAGTGTGTGCTAGATTTTACTAAGAAGATTTTACATCTTTTCATTTTCCTCCAGCACTTTATTTAATATCACATTCTAGAGTATGTGCTTTGTATTCTCGTTGACTTGTGAAATTGGTTAACATTGAATTAGAGCAGAGACTGCTTTCTACTTTGGCATAAGAGAATCCCTTGTTTCCTATTTCCTTGTTCATGATGTTAAAGGTGCTTACTCAGGTAGGAGTAGAACAGATCTCAATTGTCATTTTTAATTTCCCCTGAAAAGTTCTTTTAGGCACTTTAGGAAGTGAAAGAAGCTAACAGACATTTAGCATTGCTTTAACCCTAGCCAGAGTTAGTTGAAAACCCAAGAAATCTTAGCAAACATCCACTTGGAGAAATATTGAAGGAAAAGAAAAGTCTCTTGGAAGGTGGAAGCTACAAGGACACTTGTTACACCATCCCACCATGCTGGGGGAATTGGACAACAGAAGAAGTCTGTTGTCTAAAGTCACATCAGCAGCGATAAAACCACGAGTAAAATCCAGATCCCCTTTCATATCCTTCTCTTTTCCTTTCTTATTTCCTGTGTTGTGACATTTTCTAAACCAATCTATTATCCCCCCACTTCTCCTATGTTGGAATGAGTGAATGAGACCATAAGCCTTCCCTCATAGTCTATAATATTTCTTTATTTTTATAATTTATTTATATTTTACTTCATTGTTCATTTTTTAACAATGTTTGCTTTTTCCTCTCAGATATAGTCCCCACGAAATTCCTACCACCAGTTCACCTGTGCACCATCACCTTGTGTTCCTCCCCTCCCCAGTTTTGATCCCTCTCCCTTCCCTATAGAATGTCTCTGATTTATAGTTGCCTGTTAATTTTGTTTTATTTATTGTTAATTTTTCCTGATCCCTTATTTGGTTCCCCTGTATTCCTCCGATATGTAAAACCATCCAATATTTTTCTTTTTCCTTCTGCCTTATTTTACTAAACATAATCCCTTCTAGCTCCATCTATGTTATTTCTTTTTTTAACTCAACCTTTCAACTTTAAACCAGGTCTTCATTTTTTTCTAATTCATAAGCCCTTCTGGGACATACTGACTCTAGGATAATCTAAGGGATCTCTGCCTAGAGGTTTTCACACTTTGCATAATCCTGTACCCTGTGACTTATATTTTAACCATGGGCTAAGGCAAAGCTGGTAAGATGTCAAGTTTGTGGTTATATTACATTATATAAGAATCTGGATTCCTGACAGACTCACTTTGGAAACTCTGTTTTGATGACATAAATAGCTATGCTGGGAATGCCCACATGTCAAGGAACTATGAAGCTTCTAGGAACCCACAGTGGTCTACAACCATAGCTATTATGACAAGATCAGGCACGTTTAGGGTAGCATGTCCATAAAAACCAACCAACAGTCTTTAAAAAGTGAAACACTAATATTTTAGCCCCAAGGAAATGAATTCTGCCAAGAACTTGAGTTATCTTAGAATGGATTCTCCCTAGATAAGAGTATAGCTCTGCAGACCCCTCAACTGCAGTTTTGCAGGGCCCCTAAACAAGGGCCCCACCTAAGCCATATCCCAAGTCTTGATGCACATAGATGCAAGATATTATGCCTGCATTGCTTTAAGATCCCAAATTTGTGTTAAGCATTTTATGCAGCAGTAAAATGCAAAATTTTTGGTACACCATGAGTTGGCCAAAGTGAAAATTTCTTAATCTAAAATACTACACCATTAGGTACTTGTCAGCAGGACAGTGTAAATATAATCCAATAATATGCTCTGCCTGACGGACAAAAACAGATTTAAGAAAGTAAGTAAATTATTTTTTATAGCTCACAAGCATTCATACATTTACTGAGTGTATGTGTAAGTTGAATAATAGAATGTTAAAATGAACAAAAGACAATCGCACACAGTAAGTTCTCAAGATTTAATCTGTATAGTCGTGTTCCATGAATTCTTATATGAGATACCAGAAACTGGATCAGAGCCTGTACATGACACACTTCATTCTCAGTCAAGATCAGCATTCTGCTGAAGTTTAAAATAAGCGTTCTCTACAAATCAACAGTTTTTCTCCTACATAGCAATGCATGCACATGTGTACCTCAAGATACACATGACTCATTATTATACATTTATTTGTTTGTCAAGAGTAGAAACACCCTGAATATGCATTTTTAGTGGAAGGCATAAATAAGTTTTAGTTTCATTCATATAATAAAATATTACTACAGTGAAATAAACTAAAATTTAGAGGAGAATTAGGAGTGTGCTTCACATCTATACTGTTACCTGAAAGAATCCAGATACAAAACATTTTTTATCATATGCTTGCATTTACCTAAAATTTGAAAACAAAACTAAAATATAGTGCTTAAGGATGTATCCTTTGGTGACAAAACTGAGGAAAAGCATAACGTAGTACTATCCATGATAGAATTGTGACTACCTTGGGAGCAAGGTTCATCAAAGGCAACATATATGAGAGCATGCAAGGAGAGCTCACCAGAGAAAGTGAAATTCTGTTTCTTGACATGGATGGAGGTTATGTAGGTGTTTATCTTATAATTAAGCTGTTGCACTTGGAGTCAGACAAAATTGAATTCAAGTCCTGGCTCTTCAGTGATGTTGGTCAATATAAGGTAAAACAGTCACTACTGCTGTCCAAGGAGGCCATCAAGAAAAGCTGTTGATGACTAAAAGTCATTTTATTAAAATTATAGCAAATAAAAATACCATCTGGATAGAGAATATTAGTTGTGTATCAGAAGGGTTAAGTTATACAAGAGTTTTCAAAGGTATCTAGGGCCCTAGGATAGAGGCTATAAAAAATTAGCCTAAGTGGGTGGTCTTTTTCTATCCTGGGACTATTTCTTAGAGCAAGTAGCTCAGGGATTACTGTTTAGATTAGTGGTTTCATACATAGGCTTAGGAAACTGATGTTTGGTCTGAGTAGTAGTATTAATACAGGATATTATGTTTGTTTCCCTTCTTGGTATTTGTATGATTTAAACCTTAGTTGTTTTTAACTTTGAAATGTAAGTTATGAGTATTGAAACATATAAGTCACTGTATATGAGCTTGATTTTGAGTAGATATTCAACCAATATTAGCTGATGTTATTTTTACAGGGTCTTATTAAATAAAACATATGCATTCTGATGCCAGCATCAGAGAACCCAGGTTCTGGGGCCAGAATGCCTATTTCAAATCCTGGAAAATCACTGGCCGAATTGTCTCCTTATAGTAGGTTGCAAACTTTCTTTCATATTTCTACCACCTCATAATTGGGATGTAAAAATTGTATCTTTCAATATTGGATGGCCAGTATCTGCATGGAAGTGATTGAAATGTAAATGTATATTTATCTGACTCACGCTGTTAACAAACATTGCTTTATTTTCAGAATGACATGAATTATATAGCATCCAGCGGACTTCTATTTAAAGATGGCAAAAAGCGGATTGATTACATTCTGGTTTATAGAAAGTCAAATATACAATATGACAAAAGAAACACATTTGAAAAGAACCTCAGAGCAGAAGGCTTGATGTTGGAAAAAGAGGTGGGTACTTTAATGTTATATATGACATGAAATGCTAGAAGAGATATAATCACCATATTTTACTATGGAAAGTATGTATAACATGACTTTTTAAATACAGTCATTTTATACATATGTATAGAACCATTTAAATATGTTCTTTTTTCACTATAAATTTCTGTAAATTTTAATACTTTCAAAGGGCATAACTATTTTTTCCAATTTTAAATATTAAAGAAGGAATGATTATAACTCTGTACAGTACAAAAACCTTTGAAAAGAAAAACCATGTGTTGAAAGAAAAGTTTGCCAAATTCTTAATGCCTGTATTATAATATTGGAACCATGAATGATTTTCTTCCCAGTCTTATTTCAAACTTTTATTTATTTTTTTAATACTTGACTTTATACAACCATTTTAGGATGACAGCAAAATGGAGAATAAGGTACAGCAATATCCTACCTACCACCTTTCCCATTATCATTATCCCCTACTAAGAGTCGTACATTTGTTGCGAATGGTGCACCTACATTGAGATATCATCATCCAGAATCCATAGATGACCATTAGGGTTCATTTAAATTGTACCAAGAATGTATTAATCCAAAAAATTTAAAACAACTCCTTAGAAATAAAAAAAAATACAATTAATCTAAAAAAGAGAAAAGATCTCTCTGTTTCTATCCACTGAAAGAGATTGTAGAGAAATGTTATAATTTCTCCCTTAAATATTTGTTAGAAATCCTTGGTGTACTCATCTGGGCCTCATCTTTCTGTTTTAAAAAGGTTATTAATTACTAATTCAATTTATTTAATTGATGTAGGTCTGTTCACATAATGTGTTTCATTTCATGTGAATTTAGGCAGGTTGTGTCTCAAGGAATCTGTTCATCTAGGTGATCAAATGTCTGGGTATAGTAATCTCTTTTTTTTAAAGATTTATTTATTTATTTATACAAGCACTGGGTACAGTCAGAAGCACAGGAGGGTGAGAGAATTCACCAGAGCCAGAGCAGGGAGCAGAACAGGCAGAAGAAGCGAAGTACACTGCTGAGGGGAGCAGCGGGCGGCAGGAGAGGTCTGCGCGCCATGTGGAACCCTCGCCGGTAGCCAGGGATAGAACCAGCGCTGCAGAGGCTGCGGGCAGCTTCGCAGCCCAGTACTCAACCGCTGCGCCACCAGGGGAGGACCAGTAATCTCTTATTAGTCTTTTAAATTCCATGGGATCTGTGGTAATCTCCCTTTTTCATTTCTGATATCAGTGAATCTGTCCTCTATTTTTCTTATTTGACATCTTATTAGTAATTTATTGATCTTTCTAGAGAGCAATCTTTTGATTCCACTAATTTTTATCTATTTGCTGTTATCTGTTGATTTACTGTTTTCTCTATCGATTCACTAATTCCATTGATTTTATTTATTAATTGATGTTCTTGTTTTTTTCTTCTGTTGGCTTTGATTTAATTTGCACTGTTTTTCTAGTTTCCTAAAGTAGAAACATAGATTATCAGATTAAGATCTTTCTAAATATGCACTCAGTGTTATAAATTGACCTTTTAGCGCTAATTTCAGTATTATAACCTATGCCTTTTTTCAGCCTTTCCAAAATTAAGAGAAGAAAATAAGTGCTTAAGGAACCACTACATGACTACTGATGGTATCTAGCTCGTTTTCAAAAGAATGGGACAATGTCAAAAAAAAAAAAAAAAAAAAAAAAAAAAAAACTGTGGCGATTTAGTTGCTTAAATGTCCAGACAGTTTGCTAAAAGACATCTCCTGGGACTAGTTTTCTCAGGAAAACTTATTAGGAAATGCCACATTACAACTTGGAATGGCCCTGGAACATCAAATCAAAATTCTTTTAATGTGTATAAAATAGCAAACACACAAATCCTTGACTTTTTTTTAAAGTTTATTTACACACTATTTATTGCTGCAGTGGACAGGTGGCAATCTGATCTCTATTTCTGTGGACTCTTAATTTTGTTTCTTTTTTTATGCCTCTTCTGTGTTTTAGCCTAGGAGATCCATATCTCTGGGGACTAATTTGATCAAGAAATATTTTTGTAAAAAAAAAAATCTTATGAAATTAGTCTTGCAATAGACTTTTGTTCATGTGATTTTTCCATAGTACAAACACAATCAATCACTTCCTCATCTGTTCCCAGAGCAGTTTATATATATATATACAGTCTATAATAATACTGGTAGTTATACTCACATATCTCCAACTGTTTAATCTTTCAGCAAATAATTTTGACAGGTATTGTGCAAGCTGTTGGGAATCCAGTGACTAAAGTAGACCACATTCATGTCTTTAATGAACTTACAGTCTGTAGGAGTGAGTTGTGAAAAGTGTATAGTTGTAAAAGAGGTTTGACTTGGCTCAGTCTCCACCTAGTTTTCTTGGCAGGAAGTCTAGATTCTTTTTTGAGTCTTTCTCTCCCTGTTCCTTCAGTTTTTTCCCCCAAGAATAATACTTGGTGTTATTCACTTCTTTATGGGTTTCTGTTCTACTTTTATGGGAAAGTCCATTCATTCATGAGCTCTCATTTTTCAGTAACTGCCAAAATATGTTTTTGCATTTTTTGGTGTAAAGTAGCTATCAGCAGTAGGGTGTCCATAGGTCTGATGTTTAATGGCAGAAAGGTTTTTCATTCTGGGTTCCACAGTCACACCTCTTTTAGTTCACACTCACATGCTTTGGAGTTAGTCCCCTGGTTTCAGTTAGCACCAAGACAGCAAGCCAGGAGGTTTATTCAGCTCAAATGCACAGTCACTGGAATTATCCATTCCCACACACTGTTCAGTCATTAAGTTGAACACAAGTTACCAGTCTCTTCTTCCTCTTTCCTTCTATTTACTTCCCCATTGAGGTAACAAAAAGAGTTGTCTATTCCATTCCAGTTCCTCAAAACAGATGATGTTAATTTTAAAACAGAGTTGGTAATTTGTATATCTTCCCTCCTAAGAGGTCCTAGATGCCTTATGAAAATTGATTCCAAATTCTTTAAGCTTACTCAAGCAAGGGAAAATGCAAATTAAAAAAAAAAATCTTATTTTACTCTTTCCACTTGAACTTTACTTGCTGAACTAAGACTGTCTTAAGTGACTTTGAAAAATAAAGATACTCTGATCCAAGGTGACTTTCAATTTTCACTATTGATAGGATGTCTAAAATACTTTCTTGTGAGGATATCCTTTATAATTTCAAACTGCATTTAGTGACCTAAAATAAAAATAAATGGAGCTAGTATGCCTTTTAACAAGGGCAGTGATCTAGTCCAGAGGGTAAAGGAAGACCAGAGGATTTAAGTGAGTTTAAAGAAATGAACTTTGAATTGAGGTTATAAAAATAAAAGGGGGCCTCCCTGGTGGCGCAAGGGATTGGACAGTCAAAGAGGGAGGGTGCAGGGCAGGAGCACAGTGGGGAGGGGGCACAATGGACTATGGGTGGAGCATTATGGGTATTTTGATGGCGAATGTGAGGTAACAACATTGTAAACCAGTGTTACCTCAAATAAAAAAATAAAATAATAAAAATGTATTACTTAATTTAAAGATCCTTCAGAATGGGCAGGGGAAGACACAGTACATGTTTAGAATATCAAGTGAATTATCAAGATTCCTAAATTATATTTTCAAGTTAATTTTCTATAATTTTTTATTTTTCTTGTCAAAGGTACTTTCACAAAAAGGGATACCTTTACTTATGTTCTTAATTCTATGATTAATGATTTTAATTGTTTAAATGATTGAGTTAATTATGACTAGATTAGTGTATAAATTCAAACTACTACAAATGCAGTTTATGTGAACAAAAACATCTTTCTATAATAAGCATTCTATCAATTATATCATAACAAAATATTGCCTTATGGTTTCATGTCACAATTTCTTAATAGTTTGTATTGGTCTTCTATTGCTGTTTAACAAAGTACCACACATATGAATAGATGATCTATATAGGTGCTTGTTATCTAACCACATTGCCAAAAAGTATCAGCAACTTGTCTTTATGTTAGATGTAACGTTATGAGCTACCACAGTCTTATTTTTCTTTATTTTCCACCACCAACTTGCTGAGTGACTTTGTAAAAAACATAATTTTAAGCTCCCTCTGCTCACAAGAGTGATTGTTTTACCTCTTGAGAATTTTGGACAGAATAATTAAATAATAATGCGAAGTGTGAAGGTGGTAGGTGTTTTGTTCCTTCGGAACATTTCTGCCTTCATTAGAGCTAAACAGAATAGTGCCAGATTGGGAGCTTTTGATTCCAAGGGAGAAGGTAATCCTTTTCCCTGCCAACACCATCCCTCCACCAAACCCCTACTCACTAGCTGTAAGAAAATGAAACTACTTCTGATATTTTTTATAAGAGAAGTATAACAAAAGAGTAATTAAGCTGAGGAAGTTATAAAAGATGAGCGTTCATGCTGCTTGAAAAAGATCTATATATATATTTAAAGTTAAGACATTGCAGAATTAGAAATGTTCTAGCTTTATGTGCACTTAGTTTGACATTTCACTCATTGATATAGAGTTAATGCAGAAACATCCTTCTAAAGTATGCTCTTTATTTCAGTGTATTAGTTTATTTCACATGTTAGAGGTTGACAGGGATGAATTAATAATCAGTTTTAAGCTAGCTATTCATGATGATAATGACCTCATCCAGAATAATTCTGGCTTATTTTCTTTATTTTATACATCATCTCTTGCTCATTTATAAATTTCATAGAAAGTATACTCCAAGTAAGTTACTTCATTTGTCTGTTCAACAAATGCTTAGTGTGATTGCTGTGTGTCTAGCATAGAACTAGGGACTTGGTATGAGTAAATGAACAAAACAAAGATCCTCATGGCACTTATATGAATAAATAACCTCATTCATAGCATGATAATAAATACAACGGGGAAAAAGAACAAAGTAAGAAGGGGAGTAGTAGCAAAATTATGGAAGTAGTGAGTAAGAGGGAGAGAGGTAAAAGAAGTTAGAGAGAGATTGAGGATGAGACTATGAAAGAGCATATATAGGTCAGTGAAAAAAAAAAAAAACAAACTTTGGCTTTCATTCTGATAACCACGCTGTCTAGAGTGTAGCTATGGAGGAGGCTGAGAGGTATCAGATTCTGGCTGTACACTCTACATGGTAAAACAAATCAGCAACTGCTATCTTTAGTATTAAATCCAAGTGCTCTTGCCGTAGAGTTTAAACATTCCCAGATCTCTCCCACCATTCATACATGTACTAGTCACACCTACTTCATGCTGTTACTGTGTTCTAGCAACCAAAATTCCAAGGCCTTAGGAAAGATTGTGCTGTGAAGGAGAATGAGATATCCATTCACAGAAGACTAAGATCCAGCTCCTAGATTTTTTTTTTTGTCCCAAAATATTCCTGTTCCACAACAGTGCTCCTCACTGTCAAACATTGACAAACATTGATGCAATGTCAAGCCTCAGTGCAATTCTTATGGTGATAGATACTCAGTTTGAAATCATTCCACATGTAGAATATGTTAGTCTGGTTTAAATTCATTTTTTCTGGGTCTGGACTCATTTGTCTTCATGGAGGTCTCTTCCAGATTCTAGGAAAAATGACCACTAAATATGTTTCTTTTACTCTATTTGCATAACTTAGGAAAAAGAACCCACATCTCCTTAGGACGAAACAAAAACATACAGGCATAGGACAATTGAAATACATACAGGGCCTCCCCCGGTGGCAAAGCAGTTGAGCGCTGGGCTGCGAAGCTGCCCGCAGCCTCTGCAGTGTTGTTTCGATTCCTGGCTGCCGGTGAGGGTCCCACATGGCACACAGACCTCTCCTGCCGCACCCACTGCTCCCCTCAGCAGTGTATTTCATCAGTCTGCCTGTTCTGCTCCCTGCTCTGGCTCTGGTGAAGTCTCTCACCCTCCCGCGCTTCTGACTATACCCAGTGCTTGTATAAAATAAATAAGTAAGTCTTTAAAAATAAAGAAAGAAAGAAAAAAAGAAATACATACAGAGGAAACAAACACATCTTTCAAAGAAACTACAGTATAGTTGTATTAAAACTTATATGCAGTTTATAGTACCATAAAATAAATAGCTATCTCCTCAGTCACTTGTTTCAAGTCACTCTACTTAAACTTTTCCCCAAAGCACAGGCTGTTAGTGGCTCTATACTTGTATAACTCAAAAAGCTATTATAGAAGGTTTATGAAACAAAGGGACAAGCTATACCAAAAATGAATCAGCTTCTAACTGAAGAAAGAGAGTGAGAGAGGGGTGGGAGGGGAGAATAGTGAAACTTTGAAATTGATGATTATTTTGGCTAAAGTTTGATTTGAGATAGTGAAGATTTCAAGAAAACCTGTTATAGATTCCTTAATATATCCAGTCTTCCATAATACCCACAACCACTCTGAAGTGGAGATCATTCTATCCAGTTTTCAAGAGCAAAAACTGAGAATCAGAGGAGTTAAGTAATTTCTCCAAGGTCATGGAGCTGGTGAATGGTGGAAATAGAGTTTGTACTTGTCTTTGTGATTTCAAATACTATGTTCTTTCTACCATATTACATGATTGTTTCTAAGTGGTTAGTACTGGAGAAAGTTAAATGATACTTGGTACCTGAAAGGCAAGGTGGTGCCTAATACTGTAATTAAAAGTAGTAACCAGTACTGTAATTTCAGAAAAAAGATATTTGTTATCATTTGAAATAGGAGACCCTTGTATGGATAAGGCAGAAAAACTATAATAAAACATGAAATACTTCTTTCATTTGTCTCAGATGAGGCAGTCATTCCAATCATTGACGATATTTTTTCTTCCCTTCATGATTCCCAATTGGCTCTTGATTGTTCTGATTGGGGTTTCCAGATCTTACCAGCTATAAACATAAGACAATGCACTAACATAGATGATTATTTCTAGTATATGGTGGCATTTTACATTTTAATTAATATTTTTCTATATTAAGATGTTTTATTCATACAAATTCCATTTAGGTAAGTGGCAATGATTTTATGTGCAGGCAAGGAGACCATGTTCTTTCCTATCAAATTAAATTGTACTGTGTTATCATCCATTCTTATTTTACATAATGGTCTCTGTCCTGACATCCTTTGCAGCCAGCTGTTGCAAATCCTGATATCATGTTTATTAAAATTCACATTCCATGGGACACATTATGCAAGTATGCGGAGAGGCTGAATATCAGGATGCCATTCAGGTACTTTCAAATTTTATTTCATTCTCTTGCAATGTATAACTCTTTTTAGGAAGAAATGCTTTTCCTTCCAAAGTCTAGGTTATCTTGAAAAGATTTATCCCCCTTCTAATCTGCATGTCTAATGTGGAAAACTTTCTGGTTCCCTGGAAACTATGTTATTTCAAAGTGCACTTTCCTAGAGGGAAAGAAGAGTTATATTGAAACTTTAATTTTTAATTTCCCAAATCAATCTCACATTTTTTTTCCATCTGAATAGATAGATCTCAGGTTGTTTCTGTGGAATACATGCACTTAAAGGATATGTCACCCGCATCTATACAAATACAGTGTACACAAATCTTAGTGTATGTATGAGTCTTATAGACAGAATCAGATACCTAAATTGGTTCAAATGTATGCTTGGCTAAGGGTTTAAAAGTTCTCTAAAAATTATACTGGGCCTCCCTGGTGGTGCAGGGGGTTCAGTGCAGCGCTGTGAACCTGTCCACAGCCTCTGCAGAGCTGGTTCGATTCCCGGCCAGCCAGGGAGAGTCCCACATGGCACGGCAGACCTCTCCTGTCTCTCCCGCCGCTCCCCTCAGCAGTGTATTTCGGTCCTTCTGCCTGTTCTACTCCCTGCTCTGTCTCTGGTGAGTTCTCTCACCCTCCCGCGCCTCTGGCCTGTACCCCAGTGCTCATGTAAGTAAAATAAATCTTTAAAAAATAAAAATAAAAAATAAATATACTTAGGATGGAAGGAAAAAGTACATTTGAGAGCTTAGCAAAAAATAGTAACACCAAATTAAAAGCAAAAGAAGTTAGAGCAAAGAAAGGTCTGTTATACAAATGATAAAATAATACACCTCATAAGAAGTTTATACATTTTTTGAAACTTTGTCCTCAGAAGTTAGTAAGAGTCCATGAGATATTATTTGTATTATGATTAGTTTAATGCCTACAGGGAACTGCTTTCAATTCAGGTCATTATGCTGAACTAATCCCAAGGGTATAACTAGTAAGTAGACTTTTGAACTACTCTACATTTCTTGATTTCTGAGAAATTTTTTTCCCACTGACATATTAGTCTTTTGAAATACTTGCTTGGAACTAAATTGTAGGCTGGTAATGGGAGAACACCATCGCATATTCTATCTGATCTCTGCTTATCTGCTCTGTACAAATTCATGCTATACAAAATCATGTAAAATTAAAATGAGATTAATTGTAATCTATAAAATTAGCAAAGAACTTTATGAGTAGTAATTTTCAAACCTAGCACAGATATGGTAAATAGTTACCTTCTTTTATTTATGGTGGGAATCAAAGTTCATAAAATATTTTGAAATTCAACTTTAAAATATTTTCTGTAAGTTTTAAAACTTTTCATAGCCTCCACTATTCCAGATAATAAATGAAAAATGTACAAAACCATTCAGTGAAGTATTATTTGTAATTTTGTAAAACATATATTATCCAATATTAATATTTTTTAATTTCCTGATAAGATTTTATTTGAAAGAAAGTTCTGTTATATTCAATGAAATATGAAAACCATGTTTATACCATTTTTTCTTGTTCATGTTTTAGCTGAAAAATTCTTCTTTATGTTTCTGAAGATGTTTACCACTGCTGTATTACTGAAACTTTTGGAAACTGCCATTGAAAGTTTGTTATTTATTAATGTAAATGTGAAAAACGTGCAACATTTTTGCAAACTCTCTTAGAAAGAAATATTAGTTCCACAGATTTCTAAGAGAAAAATTTCCTATGGTCAAATATGTTTCTGAATTTCTGAGTTAAAAAGTATTTCTTTTCTTTTAGAGAAGTTTTTCTCATTCTTAGTCTTTAGAATGCAAAAGAATTACCTGGGAAACTGAAAATGAGAATTCCAGAAAGGTACACCTAGAGATTCTGGGATATGATGTTTGGAACATAATTGGATATAACCCTTCCCCCCACCCAAAGATTTTTTATTTATTTATACAAGCACTGGGTACAGTCAGAAGCACAGGAGGGTGACAGAATTCACCAGAGCGGGGATCAGAACAGGCAGACCGACGAAATACACTGCTGAGGGGAGCAGCAGTCACGGCAGGAGAGGTCTCCACACCATGTGGGACCCTCACCAGCGGCCGGGGATCGAACCGGCGCTGCAGAGGCTGCGGGCAGCTTCGCAGCCCAGCGCTCAACCGCTGCACCACCAGGGGAGGCCCTGGATATAAACCTTTTTTAACAAATATCCCAAATTATTCTGATGCAGATGGTAAAGAAATACTGTCTTGGAGACTTGAATATTTCAATAATTATTATAATTTTTTATGAATTTCGGGAGATAGTTGTACAGAGTGGCCTTTCCCTAATTTCCATCTGATGATGGAATTTTTTTTTTTTTAATCTTAATATGATGGTGTTCTGGGGAAAACAATTTAAGAAATTCTGGAATTCAGAGTTCTGTTGGAGCATCTTTCCATGTCATTTTAAATAATAGATGTAGCATTAGCCTACTCCTTAGTAACTAACTTCTCATTTATTTATAAGTGCACCTGTAATTGAGAATTACAGCTCATAATAAAAGAATTCTGTGTGAGCTTAAATAAAGTAGCAAAAATTTTCATGTGGCCATTCAGTTCCCAATTATCAACTGTTATCACACTTAAGAACATAGCTAATGTATTAAAATTAAAGTATAGAAGAATAACAAAGAACTTAAATAGAAAAACAACACATATTTCTATTTAGGACAAAATTTTTGAAGATTTATGCATATAAAACTACCCATGCTAGACCATTCCACGCATTTACTCCGTATCAAAACCAAAAATTGCATTCCACAGAGAAAAACTGCAAATCTTCCAGGAAAAAACAAAAGTAATTATAGCCTTTCCTCCAAGTTTTCTGCAAACTTATGTGTGAAAATGAATCTTGAGTATTTTTCTAAATTTTATGCTTGACTACATATAGAAAGTTTTATATACCTAAGTTGTCTAGCTATGGACTGAGCCTACATTTCTAGTTTTTATCCTACATTTCTAGTTTTTATCCCCATTTTACCACAAACTCCTTCTCTCACAAATATCTTAAACATAGCCATCTTGGAGTGGATGTATTTTTAAAACATTAAGAACAATCTTTTTTTTTTACTACAATGGGGTTAAATTTAGATCACTTTTTTATGTAGATGAAACTTCACTCAAAAATACAATAGGTTAAAAGCCAACTGGGAGCACTGTTTTACAGAAAAAAAGTGGAGTAGGTCTGCTTACCAGGAACAAGTGCTTCAGAGTCCCACCCATGTCATTGCCCTCTCTTAGCTCTATAAGCATATACACATGTGGCCAGTTGCTCTGTGAAGCACTGATTAGAAACAGTGATTGAGGTAATTATTACTTACAGTTTTGATCTGTTATTATGATAGATATACAAAAGCTTTTTTATGCAAGGTATAACATAGCAGAATTTTTACAAATGAAAAAGTAAGGGAAAAATAAAGAAAGCTCTTTACATAAACAGCATACAATTAATAAACTACAGAAGGCCGGGTAATAGGTAGAAAATGATTAGGTCATACAGGTTCATTTATGCTGCACTAAGGAGAATTGCAGTTTATCATTGACTTCATGGATTAAAGATACAATGTATAATGTTGGGAAAATGTAGTTAAAAGCAAAAAACCCATGAAACTTCTCAAAAAAACTGGAAGATAAAAACTATTTTGTTACTGAATAAGCATCAAGCGAGAATGGGATGTGAATCAGATGCAATTTGCTAAAAGATTGCAAGGAAAGAAAGAAAACTAACCCTTATGTATAGCCAAGCAGATGTATTTCACTGCAGACAATGTCTACTTCAAGATAAGCAATAACTAGTTTTTTGAGTAAACTGGAGCATATGGAAGTTGGAGTACTGAAATTCTCAGTGTGATTGAATATCATTGTTCACTGGTTCACTAATTTCATGTGCCTTTCCTCAGTAAATTTCTATTATTTTCCAGGAAAAAAAGCTATTACACTGACCGGAGGAGCAAATCAATGGGCAGGTTGGTGGGTGATGTGTAATTTGTTGATGACCAATTTGTCATTTGGAAAAAACAAAATAAAAGCAAGACATTCCATTACCCACATCAGCAGTTGTAAATTTTAGAAAGATAAATTGTATTGATTTGTCGAGAGATTTCCAAAATGACTGAAGTCAAAAGGAACAATGTTTAAAATCAGATGATCTGATTTTTCTGTATACTATCGATCGCCAGTCCTGCAATCCTTTCACATAGTGTTGTGGACAGTGGAATTTAATTGCAAATTAGACTCTTACAAGATTTCACTTGTAAAAATAGTTACAGCACCAGGATTGGTGCAAATGATGGCCCACTAGAACAACATAACAGACCCAGCCAGAGACCTTCCAGATTGTTGAACCTGAATCTCTTACTTGGCAAAGGTGATAGAGGAAAAGACTTGTATATAGCATATAGAAGAGGTTTCCAAGGCCATAGTATAGCATATTTTGCAAAACATGTTCTTTATCCACCATCTTTTGCACAAACATATTCTTTATCTACCATTTGAAACTGCCTCTTTTATTCTAGTATTGAAAACAAACTTTTCAAGAGCATCTTGTGAAAACAACATCCTATTTATTACTGCGGTGACAGGAACTGTGACAAAGGAATTAATCAAACCCCAGTCCTGAGATATAAACACTCCACCTGAATCATCTTTGTCCTATTTCACTGGAATAAATGAGCTTCCATTAATGAATGTTCAAAGAGACTTCCAACTCTTGCCTGTTTTCCTTCTTATTACAAAGAATAAATGAACACAAAATGTGAATGTCGTAGAGTATGTCCTGTTGAATAATGTTGCTGGATATTACAAGTCAGAAGGAAACACAAAAGTTAGAAGACTCAAGTAGTGTAGATACCAGACCTTTTTAAGAAAGGATTTGATAAATCTAATCTTACCAATGTAAATGACTGCATATAATTTTGAAGTGTAGAATAGGAAGATTTTGATTTATAGACTAGGAGAATGTTATCTTTTGAATATTAAATTTAGGTGTGGTAGGAAGGGTGACAAGAAAACAAAAATTGGGGTAAACTTGAATTCAAAATAAATATGAAAAGAATTAGTACTCAAATGGCTCTTTAAAATGCTCTTCAGTCAAATCACATTGCTCTGCTAGGTTAATAGGCTCTGGTTTAGATTGAGCTTTCATTATTTCCCTTGTGCATTTTTGGTCCTGGTCTATGTAGGAAATTTCTGACTTTTTTCATAATCAAGTCAATGTTACTGAAATATTATACAAATTTACAACTGCAGATTTTTCTTGTTTTCTCTGCATGTGCCTGCTTAGTGTTACATGTGTTGATAAATATCTTTAAGTTGGCTTCAGTATGCTGCTGTTGAATAAGTGACATTTCGTTACTATATAAATAGTGAGTTTTCTGATAAACAAGTATCTTTATTTTAAGGCTTGAAGAGGATAAAATCATGTATATTAAAATAACAAATGTCTATGAAATATTATTTAATTTTAGAGTTAATTGCATGTAGAATGCGTGATAAGCATATAATAAATCCTAAAGAAAGAGTTTTTAAAAGTGGAAAAGGTGTACTTTATATATGATCAGTTGTAAAAAGTGAACAAGAAAAATTCACACTATATTATATATCATAATGTTTTGTTAACCTTTATATTATTTTCTGTTTAATTTCATGAAATGAAAATTTAGTTGCCAGGTGTTCCACATAATTATTAAAGTATCTTACATTTACCAATGTAAATGACTGCATATAATTTTGAAGTGTAGAATAGGAAGATTTTGATTTATAGAATAAGAGAATGTTCTCGTTCGAATATTAAATTTAGGTGTGGTAGGAAAGGTGACAAGCGTGTTTAATAGTGCAAGTATTTCTCTTTGTTCCTTGATTTTGTGGGTGCATATGGGAAGGTAGTGAATAGGAAAGAACTTTTTAGAAAGTAAATGACATATTAAACTGAAAAAATATCATGTTATTTGCCTGACTTTAGACTTTCAGTTAGGAAATGACTGGTTTGATTTTTTTTAAAAACCTTAGCTTTAGAAAGAAAATATATATGTTGTGTGTATGTGTATGAATATCATTGTTATAAAATTATAAAACCCAATTTGTGAAATATTAAAAAGCCAGAAACAAAAATCTAATTGTGAAATTAGATTTCCCTTGTGTTTTTCCTTCTTTAAAGTGGAAATGATATATTATATGTGGTTATTTTGAACAGGAAACATTCAGAGATAAGTAATAGACAGCTGATTATCCAGTTTTTGAAGGTCATCATTTCTGCAGGCAGGTGGACAGGAAATGGCTATAGTTCTTTTTCTGCAGTTCATCATTTGTTTACAAAGAACTTTTCACATTCAGTTTTCAAAGCATCCTCAAAATGACCTTTTAGCGAAGCAGAACAAAGGGTAGCTGGTTTTACAGATCAGGGTAAATAAATGACCCCATTATCACCTTACCTGACCTCACCACACTCCTCATCTCCAAATTTCATCGCTGCCTTGGTAGACTTTGTGTTCGGACAAAGTAATTTTGACCATTTGATCCAGATATCTTCAAGTGCCACAGAATTACCCGTTTTCCACTGATTTTAGCAAAGAAACTCAAATTTCTGTTTAGAAATCATCTTCACAATCCTCCACAAACTCTTATATTTGCATGATGGACAACAAAATAAAGATTTGGTAAAGCATAGATGAAGCATTAGATTATCTTGATGGCATGATGGTGGTGATCATAGTAGTAGAAGTACTAATAGTGATATTCTTTTTTCCTCATTATCACCATAAACATTTATTATTTACAGTGTGCTGGGTCTGGCATTATCTATTTAATTCTCAAAATATCTTTTCACTTTGGAGATGAGAAAAATAAGCGGATGACAATCAAAAAAAAAGTAATAAGCTAGATTCTTGCTGGGATTCAGATCCAGGTCTGACAACATTACACCCTCAGACATCATTTATTCCCTCATATGGGGGGGGGGGTGAGAAAGCTAAATTGATAATACCTTTTATTTTCTGTAAAAGTTAAGTCTAAAGGTCCTATAAAAAGATGATTTAAAAGTCCTCTACATTTCTTTAATATTTCTTACATTCATTTTTACTTCTAGCATATCTGTAATCTTGTCAGAGATAAAAGACCCTTGGGTGCTGTCATCCATCACCATTTTCTAAGTGCTATCAGAATGCATCCTTGTATTTGATCTCCTAGCCACCTAGGGCAGATGGAATTACTTCCTCTCTTTAGAGCTGAGGAAACTAAAGATCAGTGATTAGAATACTTGACCAAATTCCCATGAGTACAAGTTCAGTACTTGGATGCTCATCTTGCAACTCCTCCCCACCGTTTGCTTCTTAGGTTAAATTGGTGAGTTGAAACCATTCAGTATTTTCTACCTGCCCATGCTCTAGTGGTGGGATACAGTAACGTTTTGTAATTTCAGAGGCTTTCTTTATAATGAAAAACAAAATGAACATCTGAAATACTGTTTATTGATTGTTTTAGACTAGAAGGAAATTAGTTGGTCCCTTCCATACCAACAGCTACTGAACCTCTAAATGATAACCTTGTTTTGGCAAAAGACGGGTTTGAACATGTTAAACTTTACACCAGGACTTGATTCTTATTTCAAATTAAAGATATTAAAGATAGTAATTTTAACATAATGCAATAAGCCCTAAGATACAACATATGCAACATTATATAACTGTTTACAAATAACTACAACTTTTAAATTTTAATCAGAATTGGCATAGTAGTAAGATGAATTGTACAATACTTTTACTATTGCAGGATAAGCCAAAAATTGCCAAGAGAGAACATTGTAAAGCATGTGTAAATATTGTGTATTTATTTTTATCAAACACAGCTGTTAAAACAGGAACTCAGAATTTAAGTTTGCAGATTCAATCTCAAGTCAATCTTTCTTTTGCTTTCTTTTTCTCCTTTAAAAAAACATGATTCCAGCCAGTACAAATACCACTGTGAAACAAGGTTATGGGGTTACGACTGTAATATAAGTCTGGGGCCAGAGGGTTCTGTTGTGAGATGTCCTCAAGTCCTAAAACAGTGTCTTAATGTTATATGGTTGATCTCTATACTAACCCCATCACTCAAATTGCTGTCAGTGAGCAAATGCATGAGCTTCCCTTCAGAGCTAGTAGAAAAAGCAGTTTTTGCCCACACCTAAGGTCTATCAGATCAGTAGCTACATTTTTAAAAGCGTTTCAGGTGAGCCATATGCCCATTGAATCTTTAAAAGTGCTGCAGAAGCTCTTTGGCTGAACTTTCTTTAAAACTAATGCTTAACTCTCAACTATCCAGTAAGGTCAGTATTATTATTTTATGAGTGAAGATATTGAGGCAAGACATGAAATAATTGGTACAGATTCACAAAGCTACTGCAATGCAGAACAGTCTTTAAACCCAGTTTAGTTTGATTACAAAACTGTTGCTGTTTCCCTCAAACCTGCAGCTCGCAGTGCTTCTGAAGAAGTGCATTGTAGCTATTTTCTGTCTCTGCTTTGGTAGATCCACATCACTAAATAATTTTTAAGGATCAGGGAGAATGAATAACTACATATCAATAGATAAAAGCATATACTTAGTTACATATATAGAAGCAAAACTTTCATATGTCATGCTGCCTTCATTTTTTTTTTATTTTTTCCTACCACCATCATTATGTAAGAAAATTCCATAATAATTTTCATAAGATGTTTCTCATAAGGATAGCCCAGTTGCCCTGAAGGAGTTAAAACGAAAGCATGATTGGGTTAGTTTGGGGATTTATTTCTTTTGTGTGACAACAGAAGGAATGTGTGGGTTCAGGAGTGTATGTGCATGGTTTTGGTGTTTTGGATTCTTTTGAATTCTTTTTTGGAATATTAATGGAAGTGAGTCTTGACTCAAGATTGCAGCCAAATCCAATTCTACACTGTGCCTTTGTTCCAGGGTGCAAAGCTACTTTAGAAGAATAAAAAAATGGATGTCCCAGAACCCAATGGTTCTTGACAAGTCAGCTTTTCCAGATCTGGAGGAGTCAGACTGCTACACTGGCCCCTTCAGCCGTGCACGGATTCACCAGTGAGTTAGTTCCCAGCTCTTTTTCCATATCACCTGCCTTGGTATATTTCATCATTTGAAAGTTGTTGGTAGAACAAAAATATCTGAGGCCAGTTCCATATATATCAGAATAAGGATTGTCTTATTAAAATGTACACTTAATTTAGGAACAACATTAGTATTATTAATAATTAATAGCTATGACTTTGAGATATCCAGATAATAATTACTTAGTTGTAAACTCACAGACTGATAATCTCGTTAGCTCCTAACTATTTCAAAATAATTACTGTGGTAATGTCATCCAGTTCAAATAACAATACTGTTCATACTGATAAAAATAGTAGAATTACTATAAATAGCATGTTTGGGTAGTGGGTTATTCCAATTAATGTTATTATATTTATAATTATAATTAATATGTGTCTATTAAACTATCCATTTTAGTTTTATCTTACAAATCTACAGTAAAAGAGAAATTTGGGGGTATTTGTTATGTAACTATATATCTGTCCATCTACCTATTATCCTGTATCTGTGTATCTACATATCTCTATTCATTTGTTCATTTAATTAGTACTTACTGAGTTTCTTTATGATACAAATTAAGGATACTTAATCTCAGTACCTGCTTTTATGGTAAGCCCAGTCTAGTGGGAAGACAAAAAATAAATTAATAAATAAAATAGTGTAAAGATAAAGATAGAGGAATGAACAGTGTATTCTAGGACTATAATTTTAGGTACTACTTTGCTGTGCTCTGTTCTGGGTTGACCTGTTTGTTTTCTGGGATGTGAGTTGAGAGACAGAATTGAGCAAAGTTCCAGACCACCAAACTGTCACTGAGCCAGTAATTGATGGAAAACTCTCCTCATCAATATTCAATTTATTTTATTATTTATTCTCAGAGGTGAATCTAGACAAGTAATTTCTAAGTGTTTGCAAAGATTGGAAAGCCAAATCTTGAAAAAAATTTTCCAGGTTTAGAGAGAGGTAACAATTTCATGGAAGATTTTTCAACATTCTACTAGACTTTTTCAGGCCCTTAAGGCTGGCACACCAAATTTAAAAAAAAAAAAAAATTCTCTTTCCTTTTGAACCTGAGAAATTAGAGTGTTCTTTGAAAATTTCAATCAAATCATATAACTGCCTTGCTTAAAAGCCCTAAGGGCCTCCCATTTTTGTTAGAATATCGTTCATATTTCTTACCTCCCATGTGAATATGGCTATGTATACAGTTGTCCGTTCACAAACCTATTATCTCATCTATACTTTACCCAACTTATTCCAAACAGATACTTATTTTCTTCAGGCATATAATCTTCAGTTCTATCCATCAAACCTCAAGCTCAGTTTCATCTCAGAGTCTTTGTTCTTGCCGTTTCTCTTCCCTTAGCCTTGTTCTTCCCCCAGATCTTCACATGGCATATTCCTTCTTATTATTCTGCTCTACTCAAATATCATCATCTCAGAGGGACCGTATATGAAACTGTTTTCTACATCTCTTGTGCTGGTCATTCACTGTTCTTTCCTTTAACTTCATTCTTTGTTCTTTCCCTTAACATCACATCAATTCACAGAAATTATGAGATTTATATCTTTACTTATATATCATCTGTTTCTTCACTCCTTGGTATGACTTTCTAGAAAAGATACTTATCTGCTAAAGAAATATTTGATCAAGGAATATTGACTCAAATCTGATGGTCAAAGAGTTAAGCAGACATTCTTTCTGATTCTTACCATTAACCAGGCACAGAGTTTTTGCACCCAAGTACCAAAAATAAAAAGTAAATTTCAGAACACTAGAGGGACCCAAAATCTAATAAGATGGACAGTAATGCAGATAATCATGAGAACAAGGTAGAAGCATGGACTTTCTTGGTGATCATAAGTCCTTTAGTTTGACAAACATTAGATATAAGTCATAGCTACAAGAAGTAAGACTGAGGGAGAGTAAGACTGAGGGAGAGGATAAAAAGCAAGAATAGAGGACCTGAAAGAAAAATAAGAAATTGAATTAGGCATCTAATGAAGAGTTCAAAGGTCAGAACTGTACTTCAACAGTCATGTGAGGAATTGGATATCAAATTAAGAAGACAGTCTCAGATCAAGCAAGAGCTAGTGAGATCCAGAATAAGAGGCATAGTGCAAAGCTGGAGAGAGAAACAGTGAGAAAGCTTACTTAGCTTGGAAATGCTTAATATGAGTAGTAAGAGAAAGAAGAGATTATAGAAGACCTAATGTTTCAGGGCTAAGTGCCTGACAAAATGGTGGCCTATCATTCATATACATAAATTAAAAAAAAAACAAAACTAGAAGCAGGAATTTCCAAAAGTTGAAGAGGCGCATGATAATCCATTTTTATTTCTTTTGAGACTCCCAGTGTTTCATGAAGTAAATGCTGTAGCAGATCCTTCCTTTCCTCTTGGGATCAAAAAGGTGACTTTTTGCTCTTTACATATGGGATCTCACAGAGTTCCTTCTGGCAACTCTTCCTATGTGGAGACAGTATAGGGCTTAAAGGGGAAGCAAGAACCATTGCATATTGCTGAAGTTCTGAAGACAAGTGTAAGTTAACATGGCAATTGTGGTATTGAGAAATGGCATCAATTTTTAATCTTTTCTACTTGGAACTACATTGCTTAAGGTAGTACAGAATTTTGGGGCTCCAGCAGTCAATCTATCCTTTTCTTACACCATACTAAACAAGAAATATGAGGATGCCTAGAGTTCCTTATACTCTGAATGATACTGAAATGAATATTTGATAATGCCTTGTATTATTTATAAGTGTATTTTTTCTTTGCCAAAATATATAAAAGGGTGGTTTCTGATTTACTATACATCACATGCATTCATTTTAATGAAGAAAACAAATTATTACCCAGGAACTTGTAGCGGTTGCTGGATTCTATGCTCTGCTTTGAATATTAAAATCAATACCCTCATCTTAACAGCTTCATAATAAACAATAAGGACACCTTCTTCAGCAATGCCACTCGAAGCAGGATAGTCTACCACATGCTGCAGCGCACCAAATATGAGAATGGGATATCCAAAGTGGGTAAGAACACTAACTACAGACCAAGAAAGATTGTTCACTGATGCTAGCTCCCCCCCAGAAATATTGTTTTAACAGTGGAAACTTTTACTTCAGGGATTAAATGTGAGGATATAACACCTTGGACACAGACTCTACACTTTCTATTTTTCTGCCTTTTGATAAAAATAAACAAAACAGCTTTCAAAGGCATTTGGTCATATGTATCAAAGTATGAAATGTGTGAAATCTTTGGAAAAGAAATCTTATTTCTTAAAATGTATCCCAAAGAAATAATTAGAATTTGAGTAACAATATATGTAGAAATTTGTTTATTGTGAATTTGTAATAGAATAAAACTGAAAAGCCTTTAACAATCCACTATTAGGGACTGACAAGTCATGCTACACCCATATAGTGCTTTCATTAAAAAATGTCACATTTATTCACACAGCACAAATGTAGGAAACATCTGTTTTATATTATATATTATAAAAAGTGTCTGACATAGACCCTTACCTCATTAAGATTGAAAATTATGATTCTCTTTTTATTGACTTGAAAGATATCCACAATGCTTTAGTAAGTGAAAAAAATGATTACAAAACTACCAATCTAATGTAATCCCATTTTCTAAACAAATATACTTAAAAAGAAAAATTCTAGAAATATGTGTAAGAAATATTTTAGAGTATATCTCTAGAAGGTAAAATAATAATGAAATTTTTACTTTCTAAATGTAGGTGATGTTTAAGTATTTGAGTGTGCTACTACATGTTTGGTACAAAAAAAAAAAAAAACCAGGATATTTCACCTGGAAAAATTAAATAACATTATAAAGTTTACATAGAGTAAGTAGAACAAACAAGATGTCCTTTAATTGTTGGGATGAAAAATAAAGGATGCTAAAGAAATTAAATGTTAGCCCTGTCTTAGAATTCTTGAAAATAAAAAGTTTATATCCAGTGGAAACATACCAACCTCTACTTATTTGCATTAAATGGCATGTCACATGAGAAAAATAAACCTTTTCAAGACAGCTGTTTTTTAAAGCGGAACATTCAAATCTTGGGTCTTCTCTGATTAGTAATTCATTTTTTAACTGAACACATTAAAATAGCTAATTTAAATGCTAAAATCTAACAAAAAAAATTGGTATGTAACAGTTTTCCAAACAAATAAAAAAATCCAAAATATGTCTAAATAATTATATGCCTTTGTAGTTTCTAAAAGTAAATATGACAATTGAAGTTAGTGTTACATTTATAAAACATGCAATAAGCTCAGAAAAGTATAAAAATAATATAATTATCTCTTAATATATGTGTAATATGTATAAATGTGTATACATAGATAGATACTTGAATGATGGACTACACTTTTCTATCCTGTTTTTTTTAATTACCATTACCATTATGTTTGAAGATATTACTATAAATAATTGTAAAATGTTCTTGTATAATCATTTATCAAATCACATTTTTTACTAAGCACCTAATATAATTGATCATGCCATAATAATTAAATGGTTCCCCAATGATTTCTAATTCTTTTTAATGTAATTATTATTAGAGCAAAACTTCCTCTCCTGAAAGATTTTCCCAATATCATTCCTTTATGAGATGAGCATATATATACTTCACTACACTCTTGCTGAGATGGAGGAAATTTTAAGTGACACTTGAAATTTAGTTATGTCTATTTGTCTCTTTGACTCAGTATTAGATAATTAAGGACTTCTCAATACCCAAATCCTTTTGAGATACTTTTGAAGATGTGGAATTTCTCTGCTACTTACTCAAAGTTTGTTGTTGGGGAGAAGAAAAAATAAAAGATGCTCCAGCTTTATGTGAACACAAGTGCTTATTAAAATCCTCCATATTTCATGCTATGAAAAAATGAAATCATATGTTGTCATCTTGCAAATCTACATTTATTTTAAAGACACAATTGGTCTCTTAGTATCAGTCTCTTTCACAACCTAATTGTCCTCATAGGTGATATGGTCATGGAAGTCCTTGGGTTATTTTAAGTCTGTAAATTCAGTTTTGTCCCAAGTATGTGCCTGCTGCTTCAGAGGGAAGATTCCTTTAATCTGACTCAAGAACTTTTTTATTTCTCTTTCCAGGTATCTGTAAACTTATAAACAATGGGTCATATATTGCAGCTTTTCCCCCACATGAGGTAACTTTGAAATGCAATTTCCATTTAAAAAAACAAACAAAAAACTCTCATCCTCAGTGTTTGATCCTGTTTTGCTTGTTTGTTTGTTTGTTTGTTTTCATTTAAATTTGGCTGTCTTCTCCCAGTAGGGTTTAGTAAGAAATTGACTCTGGACCTTTCTGGAGACCCCATTGTAATCTTGTGTCTGTGCACTGGCTTCTATGCTGCATAAATATTTTGCATGTTGCCTGGCATCAGGCATCACAGTCTGGAGGGAACTCGTGGACATTGTTCAATCACTCTGGCCACAGCCCTCTTCGCCAGAGAGAGCTCAATGCTTGACCCAGCTTGAGAGCCATACCACACTTAACAGGACACGTTCCTGGTTTATACCCACCACTTTAGGATACCTGGAAATCTGAAAACAACAAAAGCCTAAAATATGTGTTTCTGAAATTGCTACCCATACGGCAGATTTTTAGAATATTTTACCCAAATCAGTTTCAAGGCTCTAGAATTTGAAAAAAAACATGACTGTGTCTGGTAACTTCAACCTCTTACACTTTCGGAATGAGCATTTACTCTCCTTAGCTTTGTTAACCTTCAATAGAGGTAAAGAGTTTTGTTGGTAAATTTTTTAGTTTTAAGAATTTTTTTTTAAGAAAAATGCTTTAAAACTACATCTTAAGATCTCTGTGATGTTAAAGAAAGGATTTTAAAGGAACTATTCAAATGTTTTTAATTAAAGAGATATATAGTTATCTGTTATAGCATTTTGGTGAAGGAATTAAGTTCACAATTTCTGAAGCTTTCAATAGATGTTAAGTCATTTCATAAGAAAAAAAAAAAAAGCAAAGCTATTCCTATTCAGTTCAAATTTCACTAAGAAAATGGGTATCAATTTATTTTACTTTTTCTGTTTCAGGGAGCCTACAAGAGTAACCAGCCCATCAAAACCCATGGACCTCAGAATAACAGACACTTGCTATATGAGCGCTGGGCTCGCTGGGGGATGTGGTATAAGCACCAGCCCCTGGACTTGATCAGGTATTATACACACATACATGTATCATGGAAAACATACTATGCTGTTATGTTGCCATTTTCTTAGAACTGAAATTATTTCATTTACCAAACCATCTGTATCAATCAGATAACACTTAGAATAAATGAAGGCACTGTTGGTCATTTCAATGAAAGGAACTTATTTTAGGGAATTGGTTACACTGAACATAGAAGAGCTAAGAGATCAAACAAGAGTATGGTAATGTACATTTGAAGAGGTGTGAACCTATACCCCTAAGACATGGATAGTGTTGTAAATCAAAATTCTTCCAGTAAAATAAATAATTAAAATAAAAATTAAAAAGAAATCACACAGAGATATTGAGGAATGGACACTCAAAACAGCCCTAAGAACGGCCAGGAGAGAAGAGATCCCAAGTTCTTCCTTTCACCAGTTAGTCTTCCGTAACTACTATCCCAACTTAACCAGGAGTAGTATACAAGGGAATCCGTATAATCTAATCTCCTCTGAAAATAAATCAAAACATTAAAAGGCATGGAATGGATGTAAGAGCAAAGAGAAAAAAAATTAACCCATATTACATCTATGCGTAGATTTATCTTTCAATAAAGATCTAGTGAGTATGTATATTCTAACGACTAACTGCCATTAATTTAAATTGGTCTTGAAATACTGGAAACTTGTTTAAAAAGGCCTAAGTCCCTAACATAAATATTTTTGGAAGGAATGAAAATAGAATGCTCAGATTAATTAACAAGTAGGGATATTAAAATGCCACAGATGGAGCTGGCCAGGAACTGAGTGGGCAGTCTCATGTCCATCTGAAATTCTGAGTAGGTGTGACATCAATATTAGTAATGTTGATTATGTTGCCTTAAGTATTTGCTTTGTCTTGCAGACTGTACTTTGGTGAGAAGATTGGACTGTACTTTGCTTGGCTGGGATGGTACACTGGCATGTTGATTCCTGCAGCAATTGTTGGCTTGTGTGTTTTCTTCTATGGAATATTGACAATGAATGCAAGTCAAGTAAGGTAAGCAATTAACAGAGTAATTTCAAAATACTGAGCTTTCTTATGATTCAGCAAAAGCTTTATAATAATGCTCACTCAAAAGTGTTGATGGAACCATAGTTTACTTGCTGTTGTATTTTTATTTTTTAGTAGGGGAGAAGTACTGTAAAAAAGGTCACTTCCACATTTCTATATGCAAATTATCGTGAATAACTTCCAAGATTATTTCTAAGTGAGCCAAATCTTTCTTTCTAGTATATCTCATACATCAACAACACAATAAACATACAATGTACATTTGCATAGCATTTAGTAGTCTAGAATGCCCTCTCAACACACTAGGTCAAATAATCATAGTAACTACATTTTTAATACATATTTTCTTTATACACATTATACAGAGATTGTTTCATATGTTGTAACTTTCACCATCATCCTTGGAAATAAGTATTCTTTTTTTTCTGATGCCAGAACCTTAGGTGGTAAAAGATGTCTAAACAAAATATTCATATCCATAAATCTTGCCCTTAGCAATCTCCTCACCTCTCCTGAGTACATAAAAAACATAAAATCACTTTCTACTTTACTATTAGTTTCTCTCGGAACAGGTACTTATTTTTTTAGCAATGATTTAAGATGTCAAGTTGGTAGTGAAATAAAATTTGACAGAAACCAGACATTTATTACAGTGGTAAATCTTCTGTTAAAGTTGAAATAGCTCAAGATTTGGATATAGGAAACACACATTATTATTCAGCAGAGACAAAAATTACTCTAGCATTAAACAGTCCTCTTAACAGCATGTTCTATTTAACATATCAGAAGGATGTCACCAAGATATGATAAAATTCAAATATGAAAAAGCATTTACTTCTTCCTTCAAGACTCAGCAATTTTTTTTCTTCTTTGGTCCATATTTTAATTAGGGTCTGACTGTTGGGTAGTAATTATGACAGTTACTAAGATCACGAAAAACCATTTCCTTGAATTTTCATTAAGGAAATACATGTAATATACATATGTGTGTGCATATAATAATGCTGCCTAAAAACAAGATACTTTCATTGTCCTGGAGTTGAATCCTGTTTTACAACTAACTCCTTGATTTAGTATCTGAGTCCCTTGTTCTTCATGAAAGCTAAGTGATAGTTACCCTGAAAACAAAGAAATGCCAGTTGTTCAAAAGTATTTCACCAAGTTACAGGTTTATTTCAGAGTTTTCCAAATTCAGAGCCATGATAGAAGACACATTTTTCTGGACAAATTTCTGCCCATTGGAAACATCCATCCCCTTTTAGGCATTTATCTGTATGTTCATGAATCATTAGCTCCTGAGGCTAAGAAGAGAGGTTGCAATTTTGAGTTACAGTGTTCTGAAAAAAAAAACACATTTTTTTTACCACTTTTCTACTCTTGAGTTTGACTATTTTTCTTTAATTACATATGTGATGACTGGCAGTGTTTTTCTTTCTTGTCTGGTTTATCTCCTTAAGCACAGATACATTCAAACTTCATCCATCTTGTCACAAATGTCAGGATTTCTTTCTTATGACTGAATAATATTCTATCACGCATATGTTTATAAATGTGTGTGTGTGTGTGTATCTCTCACATCTTTTATCCATTCATCTGCTGATGAACTTTGTTCACATATCTTGTCTATTGTAAATAAGACTACTATGAACATAGGAGTACAGATATATCTTCTGTTTTCATTTCCTTTGAGTATATAACTAGAAGTGGGATTACTGGGCTATATAATAGTTTTGTTCTTAATTTTTAAGCATCCTCCATATGATTTTCCAGTGTGGCCACACCAATTTACAGTCCAACTGATAATGCATATCCAACGCTTGGTATCTTTTTTTTCTTTTTGGTGATAGCCATTTTAATAAGTATGAGATGATATCTCATTGTGAATTTTATTCACACTTCCCTAATGGTTGATGATATTGAGCATCTTTTCATATACCTGTTGATTTGTATATCTTTTTTGGAAGATATTTCTGGAGTACTTGCTTTCTTCTGTGTTACCAATTAAAATGACACTTGAGTGTTCATTAGGTACTGATGTTATTAACATCCTTAGAAGGAGCAAATATGTCATTAAGCATATTGCAAGCCATCATCATGACCCTCAGGAATCTAGTACTATGGTTTCTAAGGCAGGGGCCATAATCCTGGTTCATGCCCACCAGTCTCTTTATCCTGTTCTATTTGATCTATGCGTCTGTTTTTAACTACCATATTGTTTTGATTACTATAACTTTGTGATATTATTTGGATTCAGTGTTGTGATTCCTCTAGCTTTGTTCTTCCTTCTCAAGATAGCTTTGGCTATTTGGCATCTTTTGTGGTCTTTCACAAATTTCAGGGTTGCTTTTTCTATTTCTATGAAAATTTCTCTATAATTTTGACAGATTGCATTGAATCTGTAGAGATCTTTGGGTTATATGAGCATCTTAGTAATATTAAATCATACAATTCATGGGCATCGAATATCTCTCCATGTCTTTGTGTCTTATATTTGTATAACATTTCATAGTTTTCAGTGTATAGAAATAAATTGATTCCCAGGTATTTTATTATTTTTGATGGAGTCATAAATGGGATTGTCTTCTTAATTCTTACTTTGATACTCCATCATTAGTGAATAGAAATGCAGTAATATACATTTATTGCTTTTATATTCTGCAATATTATTGAATTCAATTATAAATTCTAGTAGATTTTTGGTGGAGTCTTGAGGGTTTTTTTAAAAAAAAAAGAAACCTTCTTTTAAAATGAATTAATAAAGACAAAAAAAATGATTCATAGACAACTGCTGTTCAGGTTGGTTCCACAGAGAACATATTCACAAAGTTCAGCCCTCCACCCCTACAAAGTTAAAGAAGAACAAAAGGTACTGAAAGGAATAGATTGGTTATTCCTAGTGACTTATGTACCAGTGGAGTAAATTAGGCTTTTTTTTATATGAGACAAGTATTCTTTAACCTTTAGTACAAGAAATTTTAACAGGCATTAGCCACCTCTTTCCCTTAGTGCTTTATGGTATTATATTACTGCTACTTCTGTCACACTATAATTAAGATCTTGTCAGACTTTCTATTCTAAACCAAGGTAAACATCACTGGAATATCTTGACTTTCAAAACTTCATGGGGCTGAAATTTTCCATTCAAGGTGTCAGACATGGTTAAGTCATTAAGTGTTATCATGGTGATGGGGGGAGAACACAGGGCTGTTGTTTTGTGTTGCTTTGTTTCGTATTATTTTAGTAAGTTCTTTGTTCATTGCGTGGTAATAAAATGTTAAAAAGCTATGAATTGGTCTATATTTTTCTTATGTTTCTACCAGTTATGTTCATATAAATTAAAGTAATATTATTTACTTGTTGTTAGAACTATATAACCATCAAATTGTAGATTAATTACTATATATATTTACATGTGTTTTTTCATCTTAAGTGTCCAAATTTAGTCAAATTTGTACCTGAAAGGCACATGTCATATGAGTATGAAAATGAATAAGCAGGTAACTGGCACCTATTCATCAGGCCCTGGGTTTGAGGTCCAGCGCAAAGATCAAAAACCCCAACTTTCTGATCTAACCTTGCCTCTTTGGCATTAGAACTCACCTAGAAATTTATGTGATCCTCAGGATTCTCACAAGCTGTAGGACCATGGCTTGGCTATTATAAAGAATTCTTCAGTGAGCATGAGAGTGCAGATATTTCTTTGAGACCCTAATTTCTGTTCCTATATAGGTATATATATACTCAAAAGTCAGATGGTTAGATTATGTTATTTTAAAAAATTTTTGAGGACATGTCTTCTTATTTTCCATACTGGCCAATCTATCTTACTGTCCACCAAAATGTACAAGTGTTTAAAGTGTTCCACATGCTTCCCAACGCTTAACCATTTTTTGGTTTTGATAATAGCAGTCCTTCAGGTGTGAAGCAATTATCTCATTGTGATTTGATTTCCCTGATGATTATATCTGATTTTAAAACCCATGCTTTGCTCATTTCACCCCTAAAACCTAATTCCACATTGTCACATTTCCCCAAAATAGTTATCAAGCATCTTACTCTGTGCTTTGTCATACTAATAGGATCACAAGAAGCAGCATGACCCTGAAGAGGGTCCACACATTTACCTCAGATGGAAAAAGTGCTCCCTCCTATTATCTTCATTTTTGGTTATTATTACTAACATGGATTTAGCCCTTAATGTGTAACTCTAATAATAGCTATAAAACAAAAAGCAAGCTACATTGACTGACAAAAATGCTGGGCACTCTATCTCCCTCTAGTGGCTAAATAAGTCAAAGAAATTTATGATAATCTCAAACCTTTTATTTTTTTTCAATGCTCTATCAAATATCTATAATTATATTTTGCAAAGGGTCATATATCCAGTAAATTCAATGATGATGCAAAGCATTTACATACACCTAAACTGACAGCATTTCTTTCTTTTTTTTTTTTTTTTGTGGACCCTCGCAGGGAACTAACCCATGCTGCAGAGGCTGCGGGCAGCCTCGCAGCCCAGCGCTCAACCGCTGCGCCACCAAGGGAGGCCCCTGACAGCATTTCTTGAGTACAGAATTTATATTCACAAACGTTTTGCTTAAAGACAAAACTTCAATTAATAATTACAATGGGAATTTAGTTATTTTATGGAACTACTAATCTAATGTCACCAATAAAATCTAAGCAATTGTATTACAAAACCAGGATTATATTCAGCAGATATATAATAATAACCTACTCAGTTGAACATTAGACCAGAAAAGGAATTTAACAAAACTTCTCTTGATTTTTTTTTTTTGGGGGGGGGGAGATGGGTCATTTTCAAATTTCATAGCCCAGATTTTTGAAAAATACTATGATACATGTTAAATATTTTCAATAAAGTGGTAAAAAATATTGAATGAATCTGTAAGTGTTCATACTGGGTTGAAACTGGTCCCAGCCTATCAAAAATGGCATGAATATTCACAATCACTAGACTGGCTTTAGTTACAGTGGTTCTGGAGAACCACTGGCTCCCAACAAAACCCTTTATGGTCAGTGAAGCAGGAGAATGAAGTTGTACTCCCCAAATCCCCACCCTACACCTTAGGATGCAATAATCAATGACTTGGAAATCGTGTTTTCACCTCAGACATATTTTATATTTCAAAATCTGGTCTGTTCTTAAGAATGTCCCCTGTACATTTGAAAAGAGTGTGTATTAAAAAGAATGTGCATTTGTTTCTTTGGGGAAGGGAGGCTCTATAAATGTCTATTTAAATTATCTGATCCTCTCCTCCACATAAAGCCATTAATTCCTCCTTTACTTTCTGTCTGATCTACCCGTTAATGTCAGTGGCATATTGAAATCCCCTATTATTATTGTGTTGCTGGCAATGTGTTGCTTTAGGTCTATTAATAGTTGCTTTATGTATTTGGGTGCACATGTGGTGGGTGCATAAGTATTGATGAAAATTATATCTTCCTTATGAATTATTTTGTTGATCATTATTTAGTGCCTGCCTTTGTACCTGATGACTTTCTTGACTGTCTAATTTATCAGATATGAGAGCAACAGTTCCTACTAATTCTCTGTGTTGTAATGTACATGAAACCCTTGTTCCAGTCTTTCACTTTAAGTCTATGTTTGTCTTTAGATCTGAAACGAGATACCTGTATGCATAATACAGATGAACCAGTCTGTTTTACACAATATGTCATTTTTTGTCTTTTAATTGGTGAATTTGCTGAATTTGCATTTACATTGATTATTGATATACAAGGCTTATTTATTGACATTTTGTTGTTTGTTTTCTGTTTTGATATTTTCTTTTTCCATGTGTTTCCAGTTTTGTTTTGTTTTTGTTTTTCCAATTTGGATATCTTTCCTTAGTGGTTTTCTCTGTTTCAGCATTTCTTCTGAGTAGTTTTATTCTAGATTTTTGTTTTGTGGTTACTACACAGGTTGTTTCAAACTTCCTGTATTTAAAATAACACTGATATTGACTCACTGTCATTTGGCTATATAGATTACATCCTCTCCTTTTAATGTTTTGTTGTTGTCTCATATTATTCTGGTTTGTGCTTCTGATTCTGTATAACTATCATCTTCCTCAGGATTTTCTGTTCCTTTGTTTTTTCTTTCCATGTAGAAGAAATTCTTGCAAAATTTGTTATAGGGTAGGTCTGTTAATAGTAAGCTCTTTTTGTTTGTTTGGGGAAGCCTTTTTCCATCATATTTGGATGATAATTTTGCAGAATAGTGTGTTCTTGAATGGCATTTTTTTGTCTTTTAGAATTGTAAATATGTCACTCCACTCTCTTCTAGCCTTGAGGGTATCTCATAAGAAATCTGATGAAAATATAATTGAGGTACAATTGCATGTTACAGCCATCCTTTTATTTCCCCACAATCTTTCATATCTTTTAATATGTTTTACCTTTCCCTTTTGATAATTGAATGATGATGTATCTTGGTGAAGGTCATTTTGCATTTAGAAATTTCAATTTTCTTTTAGCTTTCTGCACATTAGTGTTTAATTATTTTGTTAAGTGTGGGGAGATCTCAGCTATTATTTCTTTGAATAGGGTCTCTGCTCTCTTGTCTCTTTTTTCACTTTCTGGAATACCCATTTTTCATATATTTGCTCTTTTATCAGAGTCTGATATTTAGCATTTCTAATTTTTTCCAAAATCTTCTATTCACTCTTTTTCCTAAGCCATCTGTATATTTCTATCTTCAATTTTCAAGTATATAATTTTTTAAAACAACAAATCTTGCTATAAGTACCACCAGTTAATCTTCTGTTAATACTTGCATTCCCAGACATAATTTCAATAGCCTTTATATTATTTTTAACTTCTACAGAGAAAATTTACTTAATGGCAATTTACCCAGAGTATACTAAGTGCTTTGAACTCTCAGGCTAGGACTTTTAAGAAATTGTTATTGATTCCTGTAACAAAGTCATACATAATGTATATTTAGAACTTTAAAAGGCAGTGGGCATAAAACTGTGAAGAAACAAATGTTCTCTATTTCAACCAAGAATACAATATATAGAAGTAAATAAAAATTATATCTTGCCCTTGTGACAGTGTGTGCAAGGCACTACAAAAAATTTCAACTTCCATAATTTCCAGTGACCATTATGTGCCAACTGGCTGTAGTGGGAGCTGTAAAATTGTGTGAATTATGGTATTGTTCATTTTGGTGATTCTAAGACAGCAAGATTCGTGGTGAGATATATAGATTTGAGAACTCTGAATAGTCAGATTTGATTCTAGTTCAGCCACTTCTGTAAGATTGATTAAAATTCCTTTGGGTGTTCTTCACAAAATTATCCTGAATGCCATGAAATCATATGCTTAAGAAATCAGTGCAAACAAAACCTATGTATCATAAAATTGAAAACATTTGGATAAGAGTCAATGTCCTTCAATCTTCCTTCCCTGTCTGCTGCTCCATATTATTTCCATTTCTTCTTTTCCTCTCTGCCTTACTGCTTCCCACTGAATGGGCCATGTGGTCTAAATACCTTCCTAGATTGGAGTTTCATGGTTTCTTTTTCTTCCTTGATTTCTCAAGCCAAGAAATTTGCAAGGCCACTGAAGTGTTCATGTGTCCTCTCTGTGACAAGAACTGCTCCCTGCAGAGACTCAATGACAGCTGTATCTATGCCAAGGTAAGTGAGTGCCCTCACTTTTCCCTTTGCTCTACTTTTTCTAGAAAGCAGGTAGTAAAAAGTCCACCAGTAAATTACTTTTTAAGAAAGTTCAATGTTGGGGCCTCCCCAGTGGGGCAGCGGTTGAGCGCTGGGTTGCGAAACTGTTCGCAGCCTCTGCAGCACCGGTTTGATCCCCGGCCGCAGGCAAGGGTCCCACATGGCGCACAGACCTCTCCTGCCGCCCACTGCTCCCCTCAGCAGTGTATTTCGTCAGTCTGCCTGCTCTGCAACCCTCACTGGCTCTGGTGAACTCTCTCACCCTCCCGCACTTCTGACTGTACCCAGTGCTTGTATAAATAAATAAATAAATCTTTAAAAAAAAAAAAGTTCAGTGTTCCCAAGTGTTTACATCATCACTGACAACTGAATAAAAATCACTCTGTAGCAGTTACCAAGAGTATATTTCTATTGGAGTATCTCTGTCTTCCTGTGTTTTTATAAATGATGATTGTCATCAGAGACATAAACTTCCAGCTGTAATACAACCTAAATATAGATTTTCTTTAAGAGAAGATCATTGTTTCTATTGCTCACAATTAAAGTATCTTCCATAAAGACTAACGAAACTTAAATACTTCTAATTTCACAAAGACAATGAAATAATATACCAAAAGTTCTCAAATTGCTGCCTAGTAAATCATCTGGAGTGTTTTTTAAATTCCTGAAAACCCAGGCCACACCCAAAGAGCACTTAAGTCAGAATCTTTGGGCTGGGAACCTAGGCAGTGGCATATTTTAAAACTTCCCAGGGGATACCAATGTACATACAAGTATGAAAATCTGAATTTCACAATTATGATTATTTATTTGCAAATTGTTTTATTAAAGTATAATTAACATATAATAAATTGCATATATTTGAAGTGTATAAATTGATGCATTTTGATTTTATATATATATATATATATATATATATATATATGAAACCATCACCACAATCAAGAAAATGAGCACATCCATAATTTCCAAAATTTTCTCACACCATCTTTCAAGCTCTGCTTTCACCCTTCCCCAGAACCACCCATGTGCTCAGGTAACCAACTGATTTCTTTCTTTATAGAGAGTCTGTATTTTCTAGATTCTTATGCAAATGTAATAACACAGTGTATTTTTTTTCTTCTTTCGCATACCATCTTTATTTTTAAGATTCACACATGTTGTTCTTTCATCAATAGATCATTCTTTACTGCTGAGTTGTATTGCTTGATATGGTTATACCAGAGTTTTTTTTTTACCCATTCACCAATTACTAGACTTTCAGACTTGTTTCAAGTTGTTACTATTTAAAATAAATCTGCTATGAACATCCACCTACAAGTCTTCACCTACTGTTTTGTCTTTTTTTTTTTTTTTCCCTCTTGAGTAAATACCTAGATGTAAAATGACTGGGTTATATGATAAGTGGATGTTTAATTTTCTAAGAAAGTGCAGAACTATTTCTCAAAGTGTTTATGTTGTTGACATTCTCACCAGCAGCATGAGAGTTTCACTGATCTTGTTGATGGTCAGCCTCTCAAAGTTCTAACTAGTCTGTTAGACATGTAGATATGTCACATTGTGCTTCACTTGCTTAAAAACAATTTTATCCTTTGGGTCTTGCTTTCAAAATTTGTGAGGAGGGACTATAGCAGTGTTCTACCACTAATTGTTCCCCAATAAAAGCAAGATCTTTCAATATATTCTGCCAAATGCACTGTAACTAATGAGGTTTTCCAGTTTGACTGGCAGGATTAGCATTATTCCTGATTATGTGAGCTCCTGAGACTGTGACCTCTAATCTTTTTAGGTGACCTGTGCCTCAGGTAGTTTCCTCACATACATGCTCACTGCAGTGTCTCACTTATCCCTCTCTATGACCTGATAACTCTTTAAGGTGGCGACATGATGCCATCATGCTCATCTCAGTGGTGTCCTGCTTCTTGGGGATCATTGTCCTTCATTACCTAATGTCCACTACCTTGAAATCTATTGCTTTATATATTTTGTGCATTTTTTGACTGTTCCCAAATGGGGGTGAAATCATTCTCTGTTATTCCAACTTGTTCAGAAGGAGAGGTTTCTTGCAGTTTATTTTGACAAGACTGGGTGAAAATCAAGTTACACAATATACTACAAGACTAAACTTATTAAAATTAGTTTCTGATTTGTTTTATCTTGAATGTATGGCTTTGGAAAAGACTATAGTTTAATTTCTAAATCATACTTTATTTTGAATTATTTTATTTTTTAAAGATTATTTATGCATACAAGAACGGAGGTACAGGCCAGAGGTGCAGGGGGAGTGAGAGGATGCACCAGAGACAGAGGGGAACAGAACAGGCAGATTGACTGAAATACGTTGATGAGGGGAGCAGCGGGCCAGCCAGGAGAGGTCTGCTGTGCCATGTGGGTTGCTTCCTGACCGGGTATCGAACTCGTGCTGCAGTGGCTATGTTTAGCTTCATAGGTTGGGTCTTAACCTTTTGCGCCACCAGGGAGGCCCTATTTTGAATTACTTTACATTTTTCACAAAGATGTCTTGTTTGGGAAGCATTTGTCAATAGTTTTTGCAAAAGTCAAATAATTGGAGTTGTTAGAATTGTATCTGTGTGTCCCTCTCCTACCCCACGCATTTCAAAGACATAGAACAGCCTACTAGACACCAACAAATCCTTGCCTATGGTACTTCTTTTATTTGTTTAGATCTAACAAAATACAGTAGCATTATCTTAATTCTAAAGATAAGAAATATCCACCTAGTAGCGCATAAAGGGAACATATCAAAGAAACCCTGAATTTTGGGCAGATTATCATTAAGCAGTAAATACATTCTCTCCATTTCTCAGTAAAAGAACATGTGAGGGGCATATGTGAATCAGACAGTTCATTTGACTTTTAAGGAAATTAGGTTATAGAGAATAATGCCTTATAGAACAATATAAGAAATTAAACCCACCCAGATGAAATATTTAACATATCTTGCATGTGTTCCTCTAGCTAAAATAAAATGTAGATACTTGCTTTAAACCCTTAAAGTCAGATTCATTATTATCTAATTAAATGGGAATAAACATTCTCTTTTAGTGTCGGTTTATATATTTAAATATCTAGAAGTTATTTCATATACAGTGTCAGAAATGTGGGAGCAGATATTTACCAAGAAAACCAGCAAACCAAGTATGATCCTGTAGCTACATGATCACCCAGCCACAAAATCTAATAATGTGTCAGTTTTGTATGGAATCATGACTCCCTGTAACAAGTAACAGCAATTAAATCTGCCATGTTTTAGTATCACGAAGTATGCGCATGCATGTGTAATTATTCCCTTAATTGTTAAGTATGTTTTCATGGAAAAAAATGGCCCAGCTATATGATAAAATTATATTTAAGTGAATCAACATTTTCGTGATGGCATTTTCATTTTTAATATTTAAAAGTATGGGATATAAAATCTTTTTACTATTAAGTGATACATTGATATTTTCTTTTAAATTTTTTTTTTATTTATGCATACAAGAACTGGGGTATAGGCCAGAAGAGGGGGGAGGTGAAAGGGTTCACTGGAGGCAGAGTGGGGACCAGAACAGGCAGATCCACTGAAATACACTGCCGAGGGGAGCAGCAGGTGAGACAGGATGTCTGTTATGCCATGTCCTGGCTGGGTATCAAACTCATGATACAGTTGCTAGCGATAGCTTAGTAGCACTGAGACGTTAACCCCTATGCCACCAGGGAGGCCCCAGATATTTTCATACTCATTTTAAAGTCACTGACACCATACTCTCAATTCCCAATATCCTTGAATTTTTCATTTAAGGCAAAATCCATAGAAATAATGACCCTGCATTGTTTTTTTAAATAATTCTAAAAATTATTCAATCCTTGAAGTCAGTCTTTTTCATAATAGTTGTTGGCTTCTCTTTTTTTTTTTTCACTTGTTCAGCAAACATTTATTGAGTACCTATTATGAACCTCAGACTATATACTGATATTAAGCCTTTAATAGGAATATAAATCGGAGAAAAGGTGTTTCTTCTTTAAGACATTTCCTAGAAGAGTGAGTATAAGACTAGGTATCTGATTCACCTGGAACATTAATTTGAAAACAGCCTAAATTTCAGAGTCAGCCCTAGGACCACATTTTAAAAGAATATTGTCCTGAGTAAGTAATTGGAGGTGGGCAGTTATGTGGACTAATCAAGTCAATGTAGCTTGTGCCTTAGTCCAAGGGATATGGTTGGTTATGCAGATTTTGCCGAGTCCAAGAATTAAAGACTCGGGAAGTAGAAGAGGTTTGAACTCTAGTCTCAATTCTGACACTATTGCCCAGCCCACCATAATTCCCTGCCTAAATTGATCTCCCAATGTTCCGTTGTTCTCCTTAGCTCAGAGTGACTTAACGGTGAGTAAGTGGTAATTGACAAAACCTCATGTTATCCTAAAACCATCAAACAATTTTAGAGTGATATAGAAACTACAGTGAAGGAGGCCGACTTTATGTTTCCAACCTAAAAAGTATCTCCTGAAACAATAACCACATTTATTGATTTCTGGCCACACTCAACTCTGCAGAGAAATCAGAGGTCAAAATGATAGAGAAATTTGTATTTAAATACAGCTTTGTTTGGGGCTCATATATTATCCTTACTCACATCAAAATGTTAAAAAATGTTTATCCATAGGCCCCCTATTCATACAGGCAAGCTATTTTCCTAAAACAATAATTCATTTTTAGACAAGACAAGCTTCCTTCTGCTTTGCAAAAAGTCTATTATGTTTGTTTGGAAATTTTCTCTAGATTTCATGTGGAGTTTTTAACAGGACGTCTCTTTCCTATCAAAACAAAGCCTTCTCCCCTGCTTTATTCTCCTGACAGTCACACTTGATTAACCGTGCTTGACTCTTCTTTCTCTCCACCCACCCTTTTTCATTCAGCAGTTCTTACATCAGCACTCTAAGTAAAATCTTAATATCACAAGCTATAACCACAGATCTCTGAATGTTCTTGTGTCCCTGGCCTCCCATATTATAATACATCCCATGTCAATAACTTAGTAGGTCTAGCACAATAATTTTATACTTTTGCACTCCTCTTTAAGGCAAATCTCAAGGCTTCCCTAAGTCCTAAGAAAGCTTTATCTCCCATTACATATATGTAATTAACATAGATTTGTACCTGTGTCTTATAGATGTGTTTCTAAAAAGTTAATGTTTAAATTTATTGAGTTGAAGATGCCCAGAAGATGCAAACAAGCTTAGCGATAATAATAAAATAAAAACATTTTAATAGAAAATAGCTTATGAACTATGACAAATCATGTCTATTCAACACAACTGTTGTTAAGCATGACTTTTTATTTACCACTTTTCTAAAACTTGGCTCTTTCTGGGACAAAGAGAGCCATTATTTCTCATTGACCTTTAAGCCTCTGTGTGTAAGGTCTATTCTAACTGTCAAGGAGGTTGTATCCTGCAGTAAATCTGTTTATAAAGGAAAATAGAGCTATTTAGCTGCTTGACAGCATCAGGTATCTCTGTGGGATGTTTTTAGAAACAAAAAAGCTGCGCTTCCCTGGTGGCGCAAAGGGTTTAGACACAACCTATAAAGCTATCAGCAGCCACTGCAGCATGAGTTTGATCTCCAGCCAGGGAGCAACCCACGTGGTGCAGCAGACCTCTTCTGACTCACCTGCTGCTCCCCTCATCAGTGTATTTCAGTCAATCTGCCTGTTCTGTTCCCCACTCTGTCTCTGGTGAATCCACTCACCTTCCTGTACCCCAGTTCTTGTATGCATAAATAAATAAATCTTTAAAAACAAACAAATGAAACAGCTGAATTCCCCACTGGGCATAATTCTAAGCTCTGTAGGAGAATTTCTTTATGGCCCTATTTCTCTTGTACATAATGCATGCTAATGCTTGTTGTGAAAACAAATCCTTAGAACATTTTTAGAAATCCCAAAGATTAGCAATCATAGAAGTTTCAAGCCATTTCGGACATGCCACACTTACCCACAAACCTTTCAAAGGAGCACATCTTTTGTGTAATGATGTATTGAGTTATAGCTTCATTGAAATGTGCAGTAAAATGCATCCCACCTTTATCTGTTACAAATTATTAATCAGTGTGTACCAGGTGTTGCAATTAACATACACATTAGTGTCATTTTAATGCTGCCACTGAGTAGATGAACAAGGAAGACCCCATTCTACTCTCACTTCTAATGTTCTTTAGCTCCTAATGGCCCCTCTGTCCTGTGAGGTTAGTGGCTCTTTTTTCCTATAGTTTCTGTGTTACTTATGTAACTGCCAAACATCTACTGCCTTAGCTATACTGATTTAATCTCTCTCACTGACATAAATATAGAGAGGACTTTATTGAAATGAAAAGAAGCAGAAAACAAAACAAAAAATAAACAGGCAATTATAAATCAGAGACATTCTGCAGGGCAGAGGGATCAAAATGAGGGCAGGAAGAGCACAAGGGACTATGGTAATGGTGCATGGGTGAATTGGTGGTGGAAATTCTATGGGACTACACCTGATGTAAGATATATATAAATAAATCAGTTTTTAAAAATGAACAATGATGTAAATACACATATATAAATAAGTACATTTTTTAAAAGTTAAAAGAAAAGAAGCAGAGGTAAGCTGAATTTGCACTTTATTAAAATCAAACAATCCTTACAGCCTGAAAATGTATCCAGTAACAACATGTAACTGTACATTGTTCTTTCTGAAACTTCAGGTAATATCTGATTCAAAAACACTTGGATTATCCTACATGTCCAGTGATTTATGAAACCTTTTAGAAACAACTTAAGATAGGATTCATTACTTCTTATAGCCACTAGTGAACAAACCCGTGGCACATTCTGAAATATATTAGAATTGAGAGAGCACTGGTATACTTATGGAGTGGAAGTATTGACTCACTGGAAGATTTCTACATTTTTCAACATCCCCAGCCTTGGAAGTTTCACTAACCCAAAGTACAATTAGGTGTGAGTAGGCATGTCTCAGCTGCAAAGCTGCCTGATGATACCTCACAATGTAGCTTCACCTCTTATAGCCTCAAGGTATAGCCTTCCAAAATTTAGAATCAGTTATGAGAAGTTGAGCCTAGAAATCTGCAAATTAACCAATTCTTTAGCTGAGTCTGTTTCCTAGGACCACATTTTAAAAAGATTTTGCCCTAAGTAAGCAATTGCTGAATTCTGCTAAGCAGAAATGAAGTCCAAATGGAACCAGAGGGAAGAGAAAGCAGAGGGAACGTGTTCCCTCACCTCTTCCCAATTGCAAATCTCATGAAACAGTGGTCGGACCCATGAAAGGATCTCATATCTCTTATTTACAAATTATAAAATAACATGAATTCCTTGGGGAGATATCATAGTACCTAAATGCAAACCCTAAAAACTGCACTGTTTTAACCAATAGTCTGACAGCTATTTGTTTGTTTTCTGTTAAGGTGACATACTTGTTTGACAACGGAGGGACGGTCTTCTTTGCTATTTTTATGGCAATATGGGGTAAGTATATTCTTTCATGACTTACTTCCTTGTCCTGCTATTTTTTTATTTGATTGTCATGTTTATACACACACACACACACACACACATACACACACACACCCATGTGTCAATGCAACAATGAAGTCTGACTCAGTACTTTGTGGGTTGACCCTCTTCACACTACTGCTTCGTTGGGAATTTAACTCTTGCTCTATACTGTAATCTCTAAAGTTAAGATTTTCCTATACTACTAAGGATTGTGTTGTTGCTATTTGTCAAAAGCAGGTGATAGTTACAACTGAAACTTCCTAGAATCCAAATTAAGCTTCTTGTATTTTTGCTGGTGGAAGTAAAACTGGTAAAATGTTTTTTTTTTGTTTGTTTAATATAGCCATTCAGCTACTTTTTTAACCTTATACTTTATACATTTAGAGGTACAGAATCTTTTCCATATATGATTAAGCAATGACATACCTAATATATAATAAAATCCTATTCCTGTATCGCTTCTTAGAACTGCAAAAATGATTTAACATCTGAAAACTGTAATTATTATGTAAAAATGACTTTTTGAACATCCAGTTGAGTTTCTAAAGTACTCAATTAATTGATGTTGAAAGTACAACACACAGGTTGGAATTTCCCTTGGTAGAGAAGCATTGACTGCACTTCTTGTCAACTGGGCAGTAGAAGGGACTGACCATGTATGTGCTGAAAAGCAAAATCTACTAAAATACAGGTCTCACTGTCCAATTAACTTCAGAGGCTCTGTTATATTTTCTTTCCAGCTTTAAGTCAAAACTTAAAGAAATCAACTCTTCGAGTTTTCCTTGGAGAAAATGTCAATCTTCATCCATGATGAGGACCACAGGGGGAGCAGTAAATTGTCACTGGGTTTTGTAGCTCCAAAAGGTGCAAATGGTAGTTTTCATTCCCTATTTTATTGTAGGATTTTTGTTATCCTTCTTAGGCTTTTGTGATAAAATCTTTTAATTTGGACTGATTCAAAAAAAAATCCTGCTAAGGAAAAAATAAACCAAATATAAATTAAGGTTAATGAAGATGTCAACAGTGTTTCCGCTACTCGCCTCATGCTTTCACGGGTCTCCTTGGCACAAGCCACAGAATGTGATCTTGCATTAGCTTTTGGAAGACAGGTTTGTGAAAGGGCCAGGATGTAGGTGCACACTTTCCATCTGAGGCCTTTCCTCCTTAGTTTTATACTGAGGTACGAAGTGAAGGTATGTCGTCCATGGGGATACCATCATGTGCATTTTCTTGTCCTGATGGCATGGATGGATCATTTGCGGTTGGGTTGTAATAGCTGGAATTCCCAAAACTTACATCATAGGGATCTGGTGCATTGTCTAATCGCAGGACTAAAACAGTAACCAAAAAACAAAACAAAACATTATTTTAGAGTGATAATCTGAAAAATGCAAGCACAGACATCTGCCAGACATAAGGAACTGTTCTATATAGAAGAGGAAGAAAGAAAGAAGGTATTTCATTTAGATGTACTTTCTAGGTAGGTACTAGTTTTGAAATTTCAAATGAGATACTTTTCAAAACACTTCTTTCTAAGACTAAGAGAATAGTTTTACTTCTAAAGTTCCGCTGCTGGTGGAACAAAAATAAAGGAATAAGGGAGAAATCATAACAAAATCATAGCCAATACCTTGTATAAAGAATTATAGGTATGACTCATTGAATTTTTAATCTTGTGAATTCAGGGCCTTGTTATCCTGTTCAGAATTTTACTGCTAGGATAAAAGTGAAGAGTATTAATTATGAATCAGTGTCATTATTTTACCAAGCATCTCAGTATCATTATGGTTGAGCCCTTGATGATGAAGATGGAAAAAGCTAAACTTATCAAAGTTTATGTTTCTTTCTGACACATCTGAGTTATCATTGACATCTTCAAAGTTTTCTAGATATTGTTTTTATTTTCCAGCAAACACCCAGTTATTTTTCCTTGATTATTTTGACCAATTACCAATAGTTCAGTAACCTAATTATTCAGTTACTTGTACTCTGTTCCTACCTGTTCCTCAAGCCATCTGTTTACAAAACAGAGTTTCTAGAACATTAAGGATTTGAGAGAAGTGTCTCAAAGTTCTCTTGATGGAGTAAAACAAGTGTGATTTGAGTTATTCCTTTAAATTTCAACTATAACATCTTAGACTGTATACATTTAGATAGCTGAGCTTTTGCATGTGATTACAGATAAAGAAAAGATTCTAAGGTTAAAAAAATATTTAGAAACTCCTGTTTTAATAAATAAATTTTTATTTATTTTCTAAATAAAAATATTTAGAAACTTTAATTTTGAGAAGTGCTACTTTTTATTTTCTCTGTATTGTTGCAAACCCATAAACAAAAATTCAGTTAAATTTACAATTAGTGGATTTGCAATTAATGGATTTGGTTGTTAAAATGAGTGATATATCTGTCAAAATCTGAATTCATTAAAATGAATAAGACTTTATCAATAGAAATATCCAAGGACATTTAATATTTTTTATGGTAGTGAGATACTCTTGTATAAACCAGAAATTACTTTTCCTTCTTGAATTATTAAAAAAAAAGAGGAATTAAAGTTTTACAAGTGATTTCATTTCTGTTCTACTGTATCATTAAGACCAAACTTCGTGTTTTATTCTTAGCAGATTCATTTCTCATTCATAGATATTTTGGCTTACAACTACGTAAGTGAAAATACCTGAATTAAGGTATATTGTGACATTGTCTCAAATATACAACTCTTCAGAGATCTGTTTTAGATACTCATTAAGATAATTTTATAGAGGTTTACTGTACTCATGAAACTTTAGAACTCCAAATTAATCTTTCTTCAAATGACTTACACAAAGAGATCAAACAGTGCCAAAGGATAGCTTTGCCATTACTTGCTAACAAAAGTGACTTTTTTTTTATGTCTTCAGTATAATGGTTTTATTCCAATTTTTATTTATGTTTACATTAATCTTTTGCAATAATATGAGATTATAGTTTAAAACCAATTGTGACACAATGAGCAAGTTTCAAATCGTTTTTAAATTTTACTCACAGGTCCATAATTATTTTTGGTTATTTCTTTGAGAACAAGATTGTAGATCATAATATATAGTGGTCTGTTTCTGTCACACAAATCTCTTAACCCCTTCTAGATAGTTTATTGAACATTAACTTCTTCACTGAATTAAAATAACTATGCAGATGAATTTCTGGAAGTTGTTTTACCTGGCTCATTTCTGTCGTCATAAAGTCGTCGATGGGAAAATGAATCTGTTTTCCTTTTGCCACACAACAGGTAGCCAACAAGACTGAGCAATGAAGCACCCAAAATAGCACCTAAAATGGCCCCAAATACTACTCCTGTATTTCTGTTCTCTGGAGAATAAGAAAAAAATACAAATATGAAATCAAAAATAATTAAAAGAACAGAAAAAAAATATATATATATGGATTTTCTGTATACAAAGGAATATTTAACAATGTTTGCATAAAAATTAGATAATAGTGATACTGTGGGGGCGGTGTATGTGTGTCTGTGTATGCTTATAAATTATTACGTATTTGGGATATACTTAATAGTAAATCCTCCCTTCAGATTTTGAATTCTTGAAATAATTCTAAATCTTAGCTTTGCAAGAAGCCCATTAATTATTGCCACAAATAGTACAGAAATACCATGTATATGCTCCACCTGCTGTGGTGTTTTTAACCAACTCTGAATCTATTATGAACTTTGAGCTTGTTTCTACAATAATTCAAAAATAATAAGCTAGTGGGGATAAGTGGGTAATAGAAAATGAATCCACAAAACCCAAAATGAAACGACACCATAAGGAAAAACAATATATCCTGTTACAGGATATTTCCAAATGTAGTATTTTGGACAAAGCAAGATATTTGCAATACATTGCACTTCAAGAACTAAGGTCTGTAGGTCTGAGCTTAAGGCAGTTCACAATACTGTCTATCATCCCCTTTACCAAGCACTTTCTTTGAGGACAAAGTCAACTATATACTTTATGCGCCCTGAACTCATATTTAGCATATTTCATATTCAATCATTTTTTTCTTATTTCTTCAGAAATCTGTCAGATAAACAAGGGGACTTCGAGGCTCTCTGATTCTATATAAACCCCCATTTATTAAAAAAATTAGTCTTCATGTAAGGTTAGAAATCACGAGAATGAAAATAAGTTGTTTCCTTTTGATTAAAGAACAATAGGAGTAGTACTCAGTGTCTTAATATTTATTTTAAAATGGAAATGTTTTTTAAAAAAAATCTTTAAATATCAGTATATATAAATAAAAGGAGGTGTTAAAGTTATACATAATAAAAAGATATGCACATGTAAGGTATTGGTTTCCTGAATTTTAAATTTTAGCCTAAATTTTAGAATTTTTCCCATATACCAGCAATTTTCAAATAGGAACTTAAATATATGATTTGGTGTTTACATCATTATTACAATCTAAGTAAGTTGTGTTAAATATCAGTGAATTTATCAGTATTTTTTTTTTTAATTTTGGGAAAATAAAAGTATGGTTAGACCAAAAAAAAAAAAAACCCAAAATTTTCATTAAATATTAGGAGTCTTTTCTGTTGTTTTAAACCTTAAAAGAATCCCTAAATGAAACACAAAGTTTTTACTATAATTGTTTCTATACAGCTAAATTCTATTTTTATGTTGTTACTGAGGTACTGACCTACAAATTGAGAAGAATTTCTTTTTGTTGTTTACTTTCACTTTTTAAATGTCAAACTTTTGTGTTGCTATGATTGCTATGTGGTATCAGAAAATTTATAAATTCACTAAATTTATTCAGTTTCAACCCCTCCAGAATTTCTAAATGTAATCCCAGGTAGTTATCTAATAGACAGTGAAAATCGTTTCCCAGAATCTCAAACTCACACCAGTCCCTCAGTCTTCATTTCTTTTCTATCTAACCTACTTCTCATTTTGTCCCACTCTCACCATCTTCACCTACAGTAAGGACTATTATATGCTGACTTAAGCCCTGAAGTCCCTTTGCTGTTTCCAGTGAATACCCCCTAATGTGAGAACCACCTATGTTATGGTAGTCTCCTCCTTTTTGTCTAGTAAGTTACATTCCTTCGACATAATCTATATGCCTAACTTGGAGATTCAGTTTCACAAAAAAAGCAAAGATAGATTCATTTTTATTTACCTTCTTGGGGGTCTGCTGTATTTGGAACAATTTTTGAATTATTGGTGAATTTCAAGGTGGGCTGCAGAGTCGTGGTTTCTTGAGAGGGAGTGAACCCCACTGTGCTGTCAGCAGTTGTAGTAAGCCATCCATCTGGTTGTATTGTCTTGGGGGTCACGGACATGGTGTTTGATGTTGGAGGGAGGATGCTAACTGAAATGGAACTGTTGTCAGTTTTCATGGTTTTATTGACCAAAGAAGTGAAATTTTCTGAAGATACAACAGATGTAACATTGGGACGTGCTGAGACTGGCCAAGGATTTCCATCTGCTACAGATGAGTTCACATCATATTTAGTTGCAGAGTCATTAGTCAAAGGAGAGCTTGTAGAAAATGTGGATGTGGGTCTCAAAGTCCCAGAAAAGTCTGCTGAAAAATTATCTAAGATCTCTGTTGTTTCACGGGTTTCATTTGAAGGATCCAAAACAGAGAAATTATTTGCTTTGGGGTCTTCATTTCCATATGCCAGAGGACCAAGTTCCTTTTCTGTTATGGAACCTTCTGTTATATTTTGTGTTGTGTTTCTTTCTGTATCTCCTTTCCCATGCCTTCCAAATAGTAGTGAACTAAGAAAAATTGAAATCAACAGAGTTTTGACTGAGGTCACCATAGTAGCCTTCTTTGGTATAGGTGATATCAAAAGGAATCTGAAAGAAAATGACAATCATGTGAATTATTAAATGAAATAGAGTATCTTTATATATATATATATATATATATATATATATATACATTTTTAAAGTGAAAATGTAGAGACTTAATGATGAGGTAATAACATCATATTTTGTATTCCAAAGTTTGTTTTATTTCAGATTATGTGCTAAAACCAGAATTTCTGATTTTTTTTTTTTTTAAGATTGATTTATTTATTCATACAAGAGCTGGGGTACAGGCCAGAGATGCTGGGGCGGGGGGTGAGAGGATTCACCAAAGACAGAGTGGGGAACAGAACAGACAGACTGACTGAAATACACTGCTGAGCGGAGCAGTGGGCGAGACAGGAGCGGTCTGCTTCACCATGTGGGTTTTTCTCTCTGGCTGGCCAGGGATTGAACTTGTGCTGCAGATGCTGCATTTTGCTTCATAGTGCGGTGCTTAACCCCTTGCACCACCAGGAAGGCCCCAGCGTCTCTGATTTCTATTTTCTATTTAGTATTTCTTTCTTCCTTTCACAAATGAAATGTCATGCAAAAACTTTGTCAAGCCAGATACCCACCATCCTGCTATGTCAAAGATCAGTTAGGTTGGGACAAGTTGAAATAAATATATACTCTATATCAATTTTTCATATTTTATATATTCATATGTAACATTTTATATTTATCATATACGAGTAATATTTATATAAATAAATATAGATTGCTAAGTAAATTTTTTTAAAATATTGTATATATAGGGCAGGTAAAAAGGACAGATTTTTTTTCAACCTATTTAAGAAAGCATGTTCTTTGTCAGGATGTAATTTGGGATGTTTATTATGAATGTAATGTTACTAATTGTGCACTAAAGGCTCAACTGTAGAGTTGAGTAAAGTGAGTCAGTCAGAAATTCCACTTAAAAACATTTCATTTTTAGCTAATGAGTTATAAGAATTTAAAATTGAACATCCCTTTTTTTCACAATAATTTTCACTTCTTGATGCTCTTTATATTAATCCCAACTTAAGGAAAATCAGAAAAGATGCTGAGGTTTCAGGATATTCATTAGTAGTATTTTCTTACTGTATAAATTAAGATTATGTTGGGAATATGTGTGAGGAAAGATCATTTAGTTAGACATTTAGTTAGGCATCCTACTCTGTATCTTAAGTGTGGAAGTGCCCAATTCATAGAAAGGAGGATGTGGGAGAGATATGAGAGAGACATATTAAAATTCTAGCCTTGACACAAATACTTATAAAAGATAATCATAATAATAAGCAGTTGCTTTAACACTATTATAATAATCTTGCTTGATTTTCGGTGACCCCTTGAGGCAAAAATAATCTTGCATTATTCCCATTTTGCAGATTAAGTAACTGAGACTCAGAACTGCTAGTATTGAAAGCTAATAAGTGGATGAGGCAACACTAAAGCAAGCCTACTACTGACTCCAGCCTAATTAGGTGCTAAAATCTAAAGTGTTTTAATTAAAAGATTATTCTTTAAAGCTATTTTTAAAGTTGTTAGGTAGACTTTTCTTCCTCAGACAATGAAGTCTGAGAGCTGGTTTTATATTCTTTGAATTGGACTTTTCAGCTTATTCTTCACTAAAAGCCACCAGATGACTGAGATAAAGGAGATAAAACTGCTATTATTTAGATCCAGTATTGCCCGTAGTTCTGTCAGAAATGTTTATCACTATGCCTTGCTGATTTTTCATTAGGGCTGGAGGGACCTCTAAATACTCCCTTTGATTATCTTTTTTGATTTTTTTTAAAGATATATTTATTTATTTACACAAGCACTGGGTACAATCAGAAACGCGGGAGGGTGAGAGAATTCACCAGAGCCAGAGTGGGGAGCAGAGCAGGCAGAAGGACCGAAGTACACTGCTGAGGGGAGCAGCGGGCGGCAGGAGAGGTCTGCGCGCCATGCAGGACCCTCCTCCGGTGGCCGGGGAGCAGCCGGGGATCGAACCTGCGCTTTAGAGGCTGCGGGCAGCTTTGCAACGCAGCGCTCAACTGCTGCGCCACCAGGGAGGCCCTCTTTTTTTATTTTAAACCCCCCTGCCCCTTTGCTTATTGATTTCTTATGTAGTGGTACAACTTTATGATGCATCTGATACAACATTTAACAGTTGTATGTGAAAATTAACAAACTAGAGGAAAAACAACATGGGTAGTTATCACAAACATTGCAGAGCTTGAAATGCCAATTATACTGTATATAAAGTTAAAAACACAGTGGGGAAAGTGATTACTGTAGGAAAGACAAAAACATTGTTGCTCAGTGGGCATGTGAGGGGCTTCTGTGTGTTGGTGATATTCTGTTTCTTGACCCATTAGGGATTACATAGGTGTTATAATAACTCTATTTACATTTCACTCATTTTTCTATGATAACCAAAAATAATTGATTTAGATCCTAAAAACGGTTAGCATGATTGGAAAACAGATTACTAGTATAGATATATCAGATATTTTACATGTTTTCTCATTTAATTCTTACCAAAAGCAACCAAACAATGTAGAGAGGATTGTTCATTTACTTTACAGATGATAAAGTGGGGCACAAATAATGTAAGTAGAGTGTGCCTGATGAGGGGGTTAGGATTCAAATCTTCACATTAAAGCTATGTAATAACAGTTACAAAGGAATATAGAAATTTGGCACTCAGCTGCTTTTTAGATGTTTTTCCCACTAATATATATTTTTTGCACAGCTTCTCTAAATTTCATTATTTTAATCAGAACAGTTTATAATCCCATTTTTTTAAACACTGGAAAGTAGGACCTTCAATCTTAAGTGCCTGGCAAACACATTAATTCCAATAGTTGTCTTTATGTTTTCTAGATGGGCACCTTTACCATATATTTTACAAATTAGCAAAACATGAATAATTAACTCAGAACCTATAGTTCATCAGCATTTGCATTCTGTTAAACTGATGCCTCACTTAACACATTTAAAATACATTTCAGTTTAGTTGAGAATGCTTACAGGTATCTTTTCAGAAACATCTTTTTCCTGTGAACCCCATCAAATTCATAGCAAACATTACATCCTTTTTCATTACCTACCAGCAGTGATCTGATTAATTTATGAGTTGTATTTGGCCATCCATTTCATCATTAGTGTACAGTTTCATTTGCTTGTCCTACACCTAGGCCTTCTGGTTTTCTCTCCCTAATAAAGTAGTCACCAGAAAGAGGAAAACATTCCTTAGCTGTTCTTCAATTTTCTCATAATGTTACATGAGGAATGTGGCATTGAATTTTCACTCCATTCCCATAGTGAGAATCCACATATCAAGAAATAACAAAGTGAGTTTTGTTGTTCTTGTTTCACTTTGCCTGTAACACTGAACCACCAAAGGGATCTTTCTACCCTTCTCCTGGCTTTTGATTGCAATTTGAAAACCTAAGGTTTCAACACAGTCATTGAGCCAAGCATTCTGTAACTGCCTATAATTTATCTCCACGGAAAAAGGGAAGAGAAGGATGAGATGGTATGTTGTGAATGCTATTTGCAGTTTATTCAGAAATTCATATAGTTACAGGTTAAGATTTTTTGAATGTTGATTAATTCCTTCTGTCTGGGATGGCAGTGTGGGGCAGCTTTGCTTCTGGGCCCTGGCTTCTAAAAGAACCCAGTTACACCTGACATTAAAGTCCCTTCCTCTTAAAGAAACAGAAATAGATAGGAATTGAAGCCAACAACTATTCAGACAGAACCCCAGCCCTGGACATTCGATGGAGAAAGGACTATGCAATTTTAAGTTCGACCTCATTCTGAACCAAATAGAAGTGTGTTGTAAAAAGCAAAAACTTAGTAAAGGTGGTACAGAAAATCCAGAGGACAATAAATGAAACCACATCCTTTCTCTTTGTACTTTCTGCTCAGTTTCTCTCCACTTCAGATATTTAAACTATGTTATATACTTGTTACATAATGCTCAAGTTATGCTGGATGATGGATGGCATTCTTAAGTGTGCCCAAGGTCACCTGTCAACCAGGTATATTGTGGAGGCAGACAGAAGGTGGGATGAAAGAAAAGTGAAATTGCAGAGAAAGGGAAATTTAGGAAACTAGGTAGCATAATTTCTTCTCATGTTCTTTGCCCTTTTTTTTCCCCTACATGGAAATCCCCATTTCCTGAAAAGGAATTTTGGGCATAGAACTCATGAACAGAGCTAACTAAGATTATTATAAACTTGAAAAACTTCCAAGTTATTATTATAAAGGGAGCACAAAAAAGACAGGAGAATTTGTATCCACTAGCTGATACCTTGAACACAAATTTCAGACTTTTCTATATGTATTGGAATACTTTTATTCATATTCATCAGGTTTTACAATAAACTTTCAGAGTGTATATTTCACTGCTTTTTAAATAATTCCTCTACACAAAGAAAATTTTCTTCCATCTCTTTGGTGTTGGCATTAAAAAGTGGTTTCACATTACTACTCTTGTATGGAAGCCTTTCAGAGGTGGTGAGAAAGAAATAAGAATCAAAACAAAACAGTGGCCATTGAGGGAAGCAAATTCACACTTTGGGGATAAATTTTGCTTCCCTTTACATGCACAAAGCCATCACTCCACCTTCTTCCTGTTGTTAGTGAGTCATACCCATTTTAGCCAAGCTCTGACAAAAAGCAGGTACCCTGATCTAGGTCAGGTAATCAACCCATGCAAGGGAAGAGAAATGCCAGTCATTCTGAACAATCAAAACCGTGCCGTGCGTTTGAAATAAAAATATTAGTTAAGCCACACTGAGAGCTTAACAAAAACAAGTTTTTGTAGCAAAGTGACTCAAGATTCATACATTGTTCTAGCGCTGTTCCTCAATTGTTTTCAGTCATTTCTTGTTATAGTTTCCAGGCTACAAATGAAGACAGGTTTTGTTTGTTTTGGTCTGAGGAAACTCAGACTGACATGTAGCCAATACCACAGCAGACTTTGTGCGTTGCTCTGAGTGGCCCCTCCAGTCAGGAACAGCATTTTACTTTTCTTTGATGAAAGAGCTACATAAATAAAGATATGACAGATTACGCTTAGAGAAGTGCCTCTTTCATAAGAGGGTTTTGAAAGAATGAGAAGAAACTTAACTAAACAAAAAGTGGGATTGTCTGTGAGGCTCTTAGGCATATCCTTTCACACTGATTTCAAAACAAAAAGAAAACAAAACTATGACTTTCTGTTCAGGAAAAAAAAATTTCAAAAATGTCGGACATCATTCTAATTACAAAACTTAGGTGTGCATGAATCCAAGAAAATATATAGAATGTCATACCTTCTGCTAACTTGGGCGTTCTGAGTTATAAGCTTCAATATTTGAAAACTTCAGTGTCAAGTTTAAGAAGAAAGGTTATGTCTCCAAAAGAAACATTCTGGATGCAACTTCCAAGCATGGAGTTTTCAGCTTTCTATCATATTTCACTGTATAGGTTAAATAGAAAATGGGTAGATAGTAAATTGGCAGTTCTTTAATCCAAGGAGCATCACCTCGCCACAAACTGAAAATGATGTTAAGAAACTGCATCTACATTTTCATTCCATAGGACATCTTCTTGAGCAACTGACATAGCCTTTTAGATTTCAGTGAAAGCTAGACGTGTACTTACCATGCTAAGTAAAATAATTATAATTGCAACATTTTGCCAGTTTTTTAATTAAGAAAATCTTTGGAAAAGATATGTAGAAACTTATAATTCATTGCATTAAGAGAATTTTTTTTCCAAAAGTGATTCTAATACTTGAGCAAGAATCTTTAAGTCCAAATGCCTAATTTAAATCTCAAATTTACATCCATGCCACCATTTCCACTTTAAACATTTTTTTTTATTTAACTCTGCTTTCATCATCTAAAAAAAAATTTGGCAGGAATTCGTAAAGTTAACTCATTCAACAGTGCACATGTTCATTTAGGTAATTATTTAATGAAGCAAGACCTGTCTTTACAAGGGTCTCAGTAACTACTTGCCAGACTGTTCTGTCAAAAGTTGAGTCAGCTTGATTCTCTAGTGAGAGGGAGGGAGGGAGGTAGAGAGGAGAGAAAGAGAGAGACAGTGAGATAGAGAGGAGTGGAGAAATGGGGACCTATGTAACCCAGCGTAAACTTACCTTCACAAAGGTGTTTACAAACAGGAACTAAAATATCACAGTTGTTCTGGCTAGAAAGAGCCCGCCGTGCATTAGAGAACGCAGATGAGTTAAGTGTGATGATGTCCCACTGAACAGGAGGCAGAGAAACAAAATTAGGTGGGGCTGTCTTGTGTATCTTGCTTGTGTAATAGAGCACCCAAGAACCTGACTGACCTGCTTCTCAGCTGTCAGCGTTAAGCTATCACCTCATTCAGTTTAAAAAAAAAAAAAAAAAGCCCAACCCTCCGGTTTTCATAGGTTAGTTGTTTTGACTTTGGGGTTGGGTAGTTTTCTTCCACAGAGGCAAAACAAGGGGCGTCCCTTTCATCCATCTCTTGCTCTAAATGTAAAAAAGGACAAAGGCTTTGGTGATGTCTCCTGGCGTATTAGGAATTTGTGACAGGCTGGGTTCTCCCTTTACAGGTGAGAAAGCCAAAGTGAGTCATGCCCCGCACCTGTTGCTCTGTGCTGGCCCTCAGTTTTCCTCCCATCTCATAAACAAATCGTTCTTCCCCATGATAGGATGTGCTGTAAAACCTTAATGGAAAAAAATGTAGTGGAGTCAGTAATAAGCAGCCTTGTCTGCCTCACACAGAAATGGCTTTTTAGAAAATCACACTTCACACAAAGTGAAACAACGTGTATTGGAATCCTTGAGAAAACTGTGAAGCGTTGAGTTAGAAATAATTACCAGGATTGAGATCAGATTTCTTGCTGACTTTCAGGAGTTTGGGGAGTAAGTGGGCCTGTCTGAGAACAGTCACGTGATCCTGAGTAATCCCCGGAGCCTTCTCGATTAGTTTCCATCCTGTGTTCTCTTTGCTTTTACTCTCAATTTGGAAGCTGGAAAGCTTCAGACGTGCCTGGGTAGTGCTTGATTAAATACTTGAATTGAATAACAACCTGGCATACTTCCTTCACTTTCTTTCATGGCTTATGAAAGGGAGAAGAGTAAAACTGCACTTTCTGGGATACTCTGTACATCAATATTTGGGGACTGGCGCCAACATCTGTTCCATTCAGTGCGCCTGTGGTTCATGCTTGGTTTCTACTGTACAAGGAGATAGTTTCCATCTGCTGAGAAAAGGAAACTTTAGCTGAGATTCAGGAGCTCCACTTTGAGTGCAAAGAATCTGCCTGGTTCATTGGCCCCAGTAAAGAACCAGGTAATTCTATGGTTTTAAATATTCTGAAGCCCAAAAGTCCCTTCAGAATGTGATTAGAAATTAAGCCTACTCCTAAGAAATACTCACTCCAAGGATATGTAAGCTGTGTCAGCTCTGGTATGAAGAAAAACAAGTTGAATTTAATCAAATGACTAGTGACTGAGTATTGGCTTAATAGAACTTAACTGGTTATTTTCAGATTAGCCAGTTCCTAGGAAATAAATCGAAGTGAAAATATATTTTATCTGTGTACTTAGAAAACTGAACCTGACTTGGTAGGATCAGATGCACCATACCCTTAGGTATTTTCCTAGATCTGAGCGTGAATATCATTACCACTTTCTGACTTCAACCATGGTAATTATGGCCTATACCTAGCTTAGAAATTACAAGGTACTTCTATTTCAACTCTTCACTTTCACTGCCAAATGAATCAAAGCTTATCTCCCATGATCCTGTTTCCTAAAGACCCTAGGTGTGACCTCAGAATCCTTTCCATTACTGCCTTCCTGATTACCATAGACTTGTCCCTACAGATAAACCCTATTTATCCTCCCTGTATGAGCATATCTGAAAGAGAAGTCATAAAATAAAAACTGTGTATAAATTTAATACCTCAGCTGTTATTTAGCTGTGATCATAATTCTTTGTGAAATCATCTGGACTTGGAGTTAAAGTCTAATTTCTTACCAAACAAGTCTCCCTGAGATATATTTCCAGGTAGATGTCATATTCTAGGTAAAACCAGTCCCCTTTTGGGCCTCATTTCTCTAGAGGAACCCAACAATTTCATCAGCCAAGCCAGCTGAGATGACACATTGTGCAATGCTTGCATAACTATTTTGTACTTCTATGGTGCCTTTCATCCGGCACTCACCAATAACTTTACACCCAGTAATTAAGTCTCACAATACATATTGGAAGAAGAAATACCTCCTCTTTGTCTGAAATGGTGGAACCACTTACACATAGAATTTCCAGAACATGAGGTCACTGATCAGAAAACAGAACCAGAATGTAGTATGGGACCAGGCCACAAATAGCAATACATTATTCAGGGTCCAAATGGAATCATTTTTACAAATCCTACTGAATTACATGCCTAACTAATGTTACAGATAGTGACTTTGTTTCCATTGGTCAAATTCACTAATAGTAGGTTATCAGTTTGAAACACTATATAAATTGAATTCATGTTTAATTTCCCCAGTGGAGAATGAACACTTTAAGCAACAAAAAGATATTTGATTAATAATAAAATATATCACCTTACAATTATATTATTTGAGGGTTTCTCAAGTATATTCTTTATGAATACAATGAAATTTGACTGCTGTCAAATTTCTTTTGGGATGATAACATTGTTCAAAATTTTGTTAAGAGAGAAATAGGGAGCTAAGGATATATTCAAGTGAGTGAGTATAATGATCGGTTATTAACCCTTAGCTAAAAGAAAGTGAAAGCAAGAGAGGAAAAAAGAAAAAAGAAAACATTGGGAGGTCAGTGGATTGAAAAACTGGGTCAAGAGATTATGAGGATAGAAATACATTGGGAGTAGGCTAAAGAATGGACTTGATAATTAGAAATTATGGAGGGTTTACTGTCATTGATCAAAAGTATGCAACTGGAGAGCATGAGTGAGGTAGAGTAAGAGAAAACAACTTTGAAGATAAAGATCAAAGATTTGAGAACTCAAGGTCCTCAAAAGATTATCTCTGCATTTTAAGTTCAAAGAATTATGTTGCCAGTCCTGTTGATAAGAGTTACACTAAGCCAGGAGTTAAGGCATCTTTGAATACTTTAGGAAAGTGTCCCCAGTGAATGGTAAATGACTTTCATAAGGAGAGACAGTAGGAAATATTTAAAAAAATAACAAAGTATTTCCTAGAAAGCATGGAAAACAAATTCAGCCTTCATTATTGAAAGTTACTTTTTTGAACGTGAATAGTTTTAAAAACTTTATTTCAGCTATATAAGTTATTGTTGAAATGTCATGTGCATTTGTAATACTGCAAATATGGGAAAATATCTGATGTTTTCATGTATGAGTTTAAGTTTTTGAAATAATTTTGATAGATTATTTCTAACTACATGCATTTCAGATGCTCTTTCTCTTCCATTATCAGTGCTGGACTTTATAGGTCATGTGCATCTCATTGTACAGCTCTTGGCCTGGTACCTGTAAGAGCCCGCATCTAAGTATTAGGATAGTTAGCAATAATTGAACAAAACATGGTAGTGGCTACACACCACATAAATACATCTTACTGAATAAAAACTAAATGTATCCCTGAATTATATTCCCTTCATCAATGATCAAAGAAGAAGTTAAAAATTCCGGCTTTATCTATAGCAAGGTTTTAGATACTTCAAAATTATAAATATAAATGTTTATTCTTTGACTAATTCAGTATTCTCTTGAATTATGGCAAAGAACCATTAAGTTTTAAACATTAAGTTTTCCAAGAAGCATTAAAATACAAGATATTGTGCATTTCTAACTCTATATATTCAGATATATAGTGGTCAAATAAAAGAAAAAAATATTATTTTCAGATACTTCCATTATAAACATGTATCAAAATCTTATTAGGGTTTTCCTGCTAAGGAGAAGTCCTCCAAAGGATCAATGTAAAGGTTTACATTGTCAGAAATGTTTATATGAAGGGAGTATGGCTAGTAATCATTTTTGACAAAAAAAAAAAATAGTAGGTCAAAGGACTTCAGACTGTTGACTGAGAAGCCACCGGATGGATGAGCAGCTAACCTAGAAGTTCGTGTTCTTATTTACATCCATTATAAATGTACTTAAATATTTTGTCTATGATGTGACATTTTGATATTTTGTCTATGTAGCTGATAAAATTCTGTTTCAAACCACATTTGGAATAAATTTTTCCTTTAGCATGAAAAAAAATTCATTAATTTGGATCAGGATCTGAATTTTAGCCAGGTGACTTCCTTAAATAACCTCCAAAAATTTCAGTTTCCTTTTCTACTGATGAAGGTCATAATTTTTATTTCACCTGGGATGTTGGAAATGATGAATTTGTTTACAAACACCTAGCACAAAGTCTGGGATGTTGTAAGTT